CAAGAACTGGACTAGCTGTTTTCCAAAGACTGCTTTTCTGAAATAGCAACCTTCAAAATGAATGTGCATATCACATTTACTGTAACGACTGGATAAGCTTTTATTTTAAGCCACTTTGCTGGAACTTCAATATGAAATATCTAACATAAACATCTACTCTGCAACTGACATCTGCTTCCGAATCCTTGATATTCTTGGTCATTTTTAGCAAACATTATCTCATCGTTACATGTATTAGAAAGCACGGAGGAATAAATTCCAAGCCATACAATGACTGTTTCCTTTGCTTTCCTATATACAGATAGTCTAAAAGTACTGCTTATTTGCTTAATGTTTAGTTCTCACCCAGACTTAAATACAGTAATTCCTGCTTTCTGCTAGGATGATCCTGGGATAGACCAAAGCCTCAGTCTCAAAGAAGGGACATAAACTGAAATTTAGTCAGGATTTAGATAACCAATTCCAAAACTGCAATATTTAATGCTGTTCAAGTTTTTTTGCAATAATACTCTTCAGGTACCTAAAAGTCTGCTGCTATACAAACCTTCAAGCACCTTATTAATTGATTTTGAATAATGACTGATTTCTTATGCTGGCAGCAACAGAACAGCAAGTCCTTCACCTGTCATGCCTAGGGGCCTTAATTTGGTAGAGGTTCTTAGGACACACTTCCTAAATTGGGCTGTATACAAAGTTCATTGGTAGCTGCTTCTTTCTGTTATAAAATGGCTAGATGCACTGCATGTATCATTGTCTTCCCACTTCCCCACACCCTTCATACAGTGTCCTAATGAACACTGAGCTAAGATACAGGAAGCTGGAAGGACAGTGAAGGAGGGTATTTAAAAGAGCCCAGTCTTCTTTCTTAACAATACTCTGGGATGCACAGAAAAAATATTAAATTCATTAATACAGTGAGAAAAACAGAAGTTTGATTTTTTACAAAAGCAGCGTTAACTTCCACTATATAACATACAAAGCCTTCAAGTATATTAGAAAGATAAAAGGGTGCCTGAGAATGTGTCCAGGCAAGCAGTATGGAATAGTTCACATCCACACCAGCAAACTTCCCTCTGCTTTTGAGCAGGCTAGCTGCAGGCAAAGTGCTGTTGGGAACAGTGCTTGGAACAAGCTAACTCCTGACCTGGGCCTGGAAACCATTCGGGAGTTGCCAAATGACTGCAACTGTTCTCACAATACAACAGTTCAGGTTAATCCTTTCCTGAAACAATTTAAGGCACTGTTTAATTTCCTACTGTATATCTGGTCATCTGAAACGGAACTGAAACTGAGAACACTCCGGCTTTTCCTTCCTCAATTTCTCGCCTAGGGATAATCACACATCACAAAAATCAACTTCTTTTAATACTCTGTTCCAGATTACCCTGGACTAGTTGGGAAAAAAACACTCAATGCCCTTTAGGCTGATTTTTGTTAGTCAGTAGTATTTTTTGAATAAATGGATTTCTCAGTTCTAGAAGCTACAAGAAGCTAAATATTCTGCAAGAGGAATAATTTAGAAGAACTACTGAAATTTTCAAAAGCCTATTAAAGAGTTAGAAAACTAAATCCATTTTAAAGTCATTTACATATGGTATAAACTGAAGTTACTGAAGAAAGGCAAACTCAACTCATCATCTGGATGGTCTTAGCTTGAAGCAGATACCAGTAGAACACGGTAGTTTGAATATCAAATTAGTTATTTTGAATTATTATATTTTAATTTATTTTTTAAGAACAGACTAAACCTGGTATCCCAGTTCACATGAAATGCAATGTCTCATCAAATTAACAACACCAATTCCAAAAGCCCAAAATGCTTTTGGATTCCAAGTACAACTGGCTGTCAAAGGTACTTGGGTTTCCCTTAGAACACATTACTTATCAAAATTAGACTGAAGTTCTTAAGTCTGCTGGGCAATTCTGAAAAAATTGTTCAGTGCCATTTTGTCAGACCAATGCATTCTGTTTCTTATGACTGTTTTTCTCTAAAAAGAGAGTAAAATACCCCCCTCATTATTACTGTTGCTTGGGCATACTGGGATTTCCACCATCACAGATAATTCAATATGATTTGAAGATGTACATGAAATTATAACTTATGCTAGTGTATCTGAATTTGCAACAGAATAAAGAAGTATTAAAATAGCTTATTAGAAACTTCACTACATATCAAATGTAAAATTTTACGTAAAATTTTATGCAAAATATTATGTACAAATTTATGTAAAATTTTACATAAAAAATTTTTACACAGCAACCAAGTCATTATTAACAATTTGTACAACAAATTTATGGAAGAAAAGAAGTGTACTTCTTTAAAGTTCATGTATCAGTTCTGGCATTACTTATATTTCAAGCCCAAGATCTGTGATAATCATGTATTTAATAAACAAATAAACATTACCCTAGAAAAAAAATCAGAAAGCAACAGAGGAATTTTGGGACTTTAGGAATCACTTTCCGCTGCTTTCAGTCATGGTGAATATTAGATTTTAAGTGGCACATACCCAAAGGCTCTCCTTCCTGTGTTGGTAACTCCAGATCACTGGAAACTGACACTTCATCAACAACAAATTTTGACAATTCTGTCCCACGATACGTAACCTGCATAAAGAAATCTAAATGGATAACTCATTGTTTGAATTAGTGGGGTTTTTTGATAGGTGTAAAAATTTCACTTTTCTTACAAAACAAAGTTTATGCACTTATCAGTCTAATTTGTGTCCTAATCTTTGATTAAGGAGGAATTCTGCTAATTTAAATGCTAAATGAAAGAGAAAAAACCCACAAGCATAATACAGTCCATGTGCAAAGCCCTCTAAACTCTACCAGTATTTTTGATATGCTTGTCCATGACACCCTGACATTTCAATAAGCTTGTTCCTTTTTATTCAACCACCTTTCAGCTTTTTCTATCTCTCTGAATCATTAATTAAGAGGAGTGTTTTCAAATACATTAATGGCAACAGACAGTTTAAAAATAACATCGGCCTATTACAGGATGAGGATGGTCACCTCACAAAGAGGGACAGAGGCAAGGGAGGGGTGTTTAACACTTCCTTTGCCTTTGTCTTCAACGTGAAATACACACAAGGGGGGTCTCAGTGCCCTGAGCTGGAGGACCGTAACTGTGAGAATGATCAACTCCCAGTTGACCCTGAAATTTTGAGGGATTCTGCTTCTCCAGCTAAATCCCTACAAATCTATAAGGCCTGATGGGATTCATCCCAGAATCCTTAAAGAGCTGGCTGATATAATTGCAAAACCTCACTCAGTGATTTTTGAGTGATCTTGGAATTCTGGAGTGGTCCCAGCTGACTGGAAGCTGGTAAACATTGTCCCAGTTTCCAAGAAGTGTAAGAAGGAGGACCCTACAAGCCTGTCAGTCTCACTTCAGTGCCTGGTAAAGTCAGGGAGATTATTCCTGGAAGTACTGAAAAACACCTGAAAGACAACAAAGTCATTGGTCACAATCAGCACAGCTTCATGTGAGGAAAGTACTGCTTATCTAACCCGATTTCCTTTTATGACAAGGTAACCTACTTAGTTCATCAAGGGAAAGTAGTTGATGTAACCTTTCTGGATTTCAGTAAAGCTTTCCGTACTGTCTCACAGGATCCTTCTGGACAAAATATCCAGCACACAGCTGGATAAACACATGATGTGGTGGGTGAGCAACTGGCTCATGGGTCAAGCACAGAGGGTAATAGTGAATGTGGTGACACCAGACTGGTGACCTGTCACTAGTGGGGTTCTACAGGGCTCCATCTTGGGCCCTGTGCTCTTCAACACCTTCATAAATGACTTGGATGGAGGACTGGAAGGGATACTAAGGAAGTCTGCAGATGACGGAAAACTGGGAGAAGCTGTTGACTGCCTTGAAGGCAAGGAGACCCTGCAGAGAGACCTCAATAAATTAGAGGACTGGACAATCACCAACCAGATGAAGTCCAACAAGGGCAGGGCTGGATTCTGCACCTGTGACAGAGCAACCCTGGATGTACAGACAGACTGGGGAATGAGAAGCTGGAAAGTAGTGCCGCAGAAAGGGACCTGGAGGTCCTGGTCAAGGACAGGTTGAATCTGAATCAGCAGTGCCTTGGCAGCCAGGAGGGCCAACTGTGTCCTGGGGGGCATCAGGTAAAGCATCGTCAGTCAGTCAAGGGAGGGGATTGTTCTGCTCTGCTCTGCATTGGGGGGCCTCACCTTGAATGCTGTGTGCAGTTTTGGGCACCACAATATAAGAAAGATATTGAGCTATTAGAGAGTGTCCAAAGGAGGGTAGAGAAGATGGTGAAGGGCCTTGAGGGGAAGCTTGTGAGGAGTGGCTGAGGTCACTTGGTCTGTTCAGCCTGGAGGAGACTGAGGGGAGATCTCATTGCAGTCTACAGCTTCCTCACAAGGGGAAGACAAGGGGTAGGCCCTTTGGCAGACCTCTTCTCTGTGGTGACCTGAGGGAGTGTCCTGAAGTTTCAGAGGAGGTTTATGTAGGATATGAGAAAAAGGTTCTTCCCCCAGAGGGGGTTGGGTGCTGAAACAGGCTCCCCAGGGAAGTGGTCACAGCATCAAGCCTGACAGAGTTCAAGAATGGATGATACTGTCAGGCACATGGTACGACTCTTGAGGACAGTCTGGCCAGAAGCTGTACTCAATGATCCTTGTGGGTCCTTTCCAACTTGGCACATTCTGTGATTCTGTGATCTTTAAAACTACTCTTTCAAATCCCTGATAGCTTACCGTGCGACCATTCCACATTCTTTCAACACTTACGACTTGTTCATCTCGGTACAGCTACAGCTATGTAGCTCTATTCTTTGCTGCTCACTCAGTAAAAGTAAGTAGACCTTTTAAAATTTAGACTTGTACTTTTTTTTTGCTTTAATAACAGTACAGAGATCTATATTAGTGAAACTTGTTATATCCATTTATTATTGCTATTTTTGGCAGTAAAATCAGACTTACCTTATTCCACACATACTTCCATGTCACAGAAATATCACTTCCTAGTAGGTCTTTAACCCATTGAACTGGATTCTGTAGAATTTGCCCTTTACTGGTTCTGATCTTGCCATTCTTTAAGATTGTAGCTTTATGAGTAAATTCCTAGAAAAAAAATAATTTCAACTCATAAATTAAAAAATCTGAAATAGCATTCTTGAAACATGAAAAATGCTGAAGAACAGTATAGTTGAAGAGTTGCAGCTCTCTTTTTCTCTGAAAGAAAAGTTAAAGAATTTATTGCCACTATCATAAACTGTGTTATGTAAAATAAGAGGATTTATTCCATCAGAAAAAGATGTCATAGCCAATAAGAGGACAAATCTCTCTATGTGTGTTTATTACAATTTTATTTTCATCTTATTTCCTCCTAGATATAACAAGGCTTTGAATAAATTAATTTGGAACAGTGAACTCAGGCACTTACAGGAGGCAAGTCTGTGGAACAAGGAACTGCTACTCAAATGCAATCTGCCTTACCCATGTGGAACATGCACATCACAGTGAAGTTCCCGCGAAATGCAAAGATGAAACATATTTGCATAAAAATTTCCCTTAAATCAAGGGATATAATTTACATGTTTTAGGAGGAACCTGACAGTTTTATCTTATGCAAAATTAAGTATAAAAGAACTTATTGTTAATGCTCCTTTGATAATGCAAATACAGCTCAGTTCTGCAAACACAACCTCCAAAAGCACAACTTATTGTGCTTAATAACTGTTTAAAACTGAGCAAAATAAATAACTGTTAAACAATTTTTTATAACAGAGCAAGTTTTGGTTTTGTCATATTGGTCCTCGTTAGACGGACAGAGCTAAACAATGCAAAAATCAGCTGTTGATAAATTCTATTAGAACTTAGTAAGGTCACTTACCATGAATGAGGTTAAATAAATAAATTAGAATAAGAGGATGATCCACCAGCAAATATCAAACCACCTCCTACCATACCCACTGGCTTGAGGTGTAAGAATCTAAATTAAGATAATTAACCCAAATGTTTTGATGAGCACTCAATCCAGTTCACAGTTTCACAGCCTAGGCCTACAGAATTCAACAACTGCATTCAGCCTGCCCAAAGCTAACCATAAGTATGGACTATGTACCAGCTGTACGTTGCCAAGTACATCTCTATAATGATGAAATTTGCAATGTAACAGATACTGGTTTCTAAACTGCAATCTCTGTGGTACTGTCTTACAACACATAAACCAGTGTCATTTTCATCCTAGTAAAGATCACTGACTTTTCTACACTCCGAACAGCAGTACTTCAACAAGGGGTTACGATTCCTTAAGATCCACGTCCATCAAGTTGGTATCAAAGACAACTGTCTTGAGCAATGACAGTAAGCATACTGAATTCTTCACCCTTCAAATTAGTCATCTTGCAGTTCAAAGGAATATTACACATTCTTTAAAGAAAAGGCATGTCTACACACCTATCATAAGGTCCAACGTAGAGCCTTGTGGCTTACACTATCTTGTTACCAACACAAGACCTCAAGAAATGACAACTCTCAGCACAAAAGCATTCCTGAGCAGATTACGGGTGTAGAAAAAGGAGTCCTTTCTGTATTAAGTGCACCTGGTAAGTTGGCTGAAGAGAACCTTTCATGTTTTTATCAATATGCTGCCCTGCAAATAACTAGCTCTCATCTGGGAATTCAGTCAGTAATTCCCTCATTTGCTCAATACTCAACCAGGCCCCTGCCAGCTGCCTTGCAAATCTGCTCTGTGTTTGGAGAGACATGGACATGCTTTTCTATTAAAAAGATGTTTCTTTTTATTTTTTTTTTTAATTCAAATATGGGTCATACCAGACTGTAAAATTAAAGAACCAGCTAGCACACAAGCAAGAAATTTTGCAGTATTTATGTCTATGAAACCCTTCATGTCACAATTCTTTATTTGAGGGACTTGCTTCCAGGAATCACATTAAATCACAAAACCTTTACATTTCCTCTCCTTCCTTCTGGTTCTAGTAATACGAAACATTACCAAACTGATAATGCAAAGTTAAACACAAATTTACACATGCAATAGTCTGTGTGTTACAGTTATGGACCGATAAAATACTTCATCAATAGCATTTTCCTTTAAAATTCATAGACACTTACCTGTAACCAAGAAACAAAAACATTCAATAATGAGTGCTGAAGGTGCAGACTGAACTATGAGAACTACTGTTTCCCCATTTTAGTGTGTGGGTTTTTTTCCTTATATGCTAATATTAACATTATTAGACCTCAACAATTACCTGCAGTTTGAATTCTAAAACATCTTCTCCTGGCTTAATCCTTCCCAATTCAAGTAGATCTATCAATTGAAGCTTTCTCTTACTTTTCCGTCTATACCTCACTTGTTTTTGTTCCCACTCCTGGTTACTATAGCTCTGTGAAGATTTCTCACTGACATTTACTAGAGAATCTGTATTTGAGGTAAGATTTGCAAGCACCAAGTTGGTATTAACTGAATTCTCACTACTCCAAAAGACCATTTGCTGCGAAGTATTAGGGAAGTTCTTCATAGGTGCTAAAAAATTTACTTGCTGCTGCTGCTGAAAAGCTTCTTTCTTGTTTTCGTATCTGTGTAGATTCCCATGAGTAATAACCTGCTGGTAGTCACTGGCTGGCTGACAGGCATTCTCATTCACAGCAGTGCTTCGGGGTTCTACAATATTTAATGTGTTGGTCACTGAAGTAGGATTTAAAGACTTGTTTCCTTGTCCTGCAAATGCTACATGATCTTTTTGCTGTGAGCACTTTGTTTTAGCAGTGGAAACAGTAGGTTCTGAAGGCAATGTCACCACTTCTGCAGTGTTTGTCACCTTTGACATGTTGTCAAAGGGATATTCTCTTACGCTGTTTTCAGATGCCAAAGCATGATCAGAAGCCTCTTTGCTTCTAATTGCTTCTTTATTTGCTCCTGTCTCATCCAAGCAGATGTATGGGTGCTGGCTGCATTCCTGCGCCAAAAATCTATTTTCTAAAGAGACATGTGCTCCTACTCTGTTTCCATTAGGCATGCTGGCACCAAGCCCCATACTAAATGTAACTACATCAGGACACATGATTTCATCAGCAGTTAAACTTTGTCTTACATCATTTCCATGGAAAATAACTAAGTTTGAGCTTTGCTTCTCTGAAGATGATGAACTGAATATTTGCCTTTTTTTCCTGTAATTTTGTATTTTCTGCACTAATTTTTCCTGGTTTTGGGCAAGAGTTAACAGACTCTTTTGCCTAGAAGCAAGGTTAATTAATTGTTTCCTCAGTGCTCCTTTTTTGAAAGATTCCACTGAAGCCCTATAGAAAATAAAAAATAAAGGTGTTAGTTACTGTAAACACGAAATAAAGACAGTTTAATAGATGTAACCTACTAAGAATAGGAATATCTTTCAAAGAACTCTACCAACACCTAAAATTTCAACAATATTTTTATCCTATATGAAGCTTGAAGTTTGAATCACAGGCTTATGGACAAACTGCAGAATCTCATAGCAGGATGTAGAAGTAAGATGCAAGTAGGAATCCCATAGAATTTGGATGCAAAGCATCAAAACTTCAAAAACGACCTTGTACTCCTATACCACCCTTAATTCACAGAATCCAAACTGGGTCTGTATTATAACTGTCTGCTCTTTCATAATCACAAATAATAATAATACTTCATTGAATTCAGTGCCTTTGAGGTTCTAATTTGGAGCCTTTTAAAATGATCTCAGGATGACCTCCTGAAGGGTGATACTATCAGAATTTTTTTATGGTGTAAACAAAACACTTTGTGAAGCTACACTGTATTAATACCACATGACCATTAAGAAAAGAGGACAGAGTTGTTTAGGATTACCTGCAGGGTATCTGCAATACCCAGAAATATTTATCACTTCCCTCTGTAACAGTTTCACTCTCAGTATTAGAAAGCAAATAAATTTATGTAGCTACTAATTTTACTGTTCTTGTTTTTTAATTCAGTCACTAGTTTGTTCACAGGGATAATTTGGAACACTAATTCCTCATAATTTTTTAAATTATCTGGTAATCTACATATGTTACATTTTATAGCTGGCAAAATGGCTCATGGTAGAAATATTTCAGTCCCTATTCAACTGCCTGTATGTTTTGCTATGGGTCTACCTGGGAGCTGTACATGCTGCTTCACATGACCAACCAATCCTGCTCACACAAACAGTATGGAGACATTCTCAGAAGTTGGCCTAGAAGCATCCATTGAACAGGATGCTATATTCTTATAACACCACATGACCAGCACTGAGGTAGTCCCTCTTAGAAGGAAGAAAAAAGAGGCCTTTTGAGAGCTAGGGTCATGAAGCTGACAATTCACACAGTCCATGTTCACACTAAGGTGTTACATGAGTTGTCCTCACAAAACATGAATGTCTGCAAGCACGCTTCAAGCCATTTCTTTAAATGGTTCTTGTAGGCTGTTGGTTGAACACTCCTAATCTAGGGGTGCTTAAGAAACAAACCAGAGGCACCACACTCCAAGACACTCCACTCCAAGTGGTGTCTTGAGTTGCTACTACTTTCCCCCATGATACAGCAAAATGAACGTCTTTGCTCAATACCTCCATTTCCCAATTTCTGCTTAGTTTTTTTCCCACAATTTTTGTGTGTTCTCTAACTAATTTCAATGCTCACTGTGCACACAGCAACTGATTTGCATGCACTAGCTCAACCCTGAAGTTCTTCCTTGATGTAAATGCCTGCTGGAGGTAACTGAAGCTAGTATGGATCATGCTCCCACAAAATCTGAATGAAAACCACATAGAGTTACTTCCATGCTACTGTACGCTAGTCTCCAAAAAACTTCTATCACTACTTCTATGAAGAATAGCTTCCTATGAATGTAATCTCTCTATTCTACTTACCTGTATTTTTTAGCAAGGGCATCCCTCTCTGTTTTCTGGCTTGCTAGCATTTCATTCAAAGCATCTTGTATCTGAGATAGCCTTTGTATATATACATCTGTTCAATATTTTGAAATAATCAAAATTATGATGGCAATAAGGAGTAGAAAATAATTACAGTAATATTTTAATGTAGCAAATACACAGTCAAAGTATGAAGATACAGTTAAGAATATCTTCAGATACTGTCATGCATACTGATAGGTCTTTACTTTTAATGAAATTCTTCAGAATTAAATGCAAGTTTAACTTTAAGAAAATAGTTTGCACTGGAAAATTTTGAAGTGCACATACTTCATATAGGAAATTACTAAGAGAAATGGATAAAGAACTGCCCTATGGATGATAAGGACCGAAAATTTTGAAGTTATTTTGTTGCAAGGAGCTACCTACCATGACAATTATACTGAGGATACCTGCAGAAGTTACACAGTCTTAAGCAGGTGTGTAAAACTTCTATGACTAAAGTATTATAAAATAGTTTAATGAACCAAGACTCTTCCAAGTTACATACAGTGGTAAAAGCATATCTATCAAGTTTTCATAGTTTCAAACCCATATTTTAAAACAGAGTAATTGTCCCTTTTTGTTAGTTTTATTCTTTTAAATTAGGAAGAGCAAATATAAACTCCTCTTTATATACCCTATCTCTTAAGACATATAACATAAGGGAGGGCTAGAAGTCATGACAAGTGGATACTGCTGTGATAATTTGCTAAACCATGCAGAAAGTCTACAACAGTCAATGGAATCTTTTCTTAATCATGAAAACCAGGAAATTATAGGATTAAAATAAGCATTTGTAAAATCCAAACTGGTTTTACAGCATCTACCAGACATTTACTTACTCAGTAATACTTACATACTGCTCTTATTAAGGCAGCTTAATAGTGAATTTGAATCTGTTATTTACAGTAGGTTTCCTGCATGCAAATACCTTGAGATTTTATTCTATGTTTTAAGTTTGTCAATGTACTTCCATGTTCTTGTTCAGTCTTGTGCCTCTTCAGTAGTAAAGATTGTGACTTAGTTTGAGATGTGCTATATTATTAATGCTTTTGCCAGTAGTGGTAACATAGCACCATGTTCATTTCTCTAATACTCCTAAACAGGAGAATTCTGATAATTATTTTCACTCTTTTTATGAAATTACACTTATCTCTGTCCATAGGCTCCTGTCTATTCTATCAACTACAATAGCTCCTGCCTATTTTATCCTACCTGCTTGTCAAACATTTTTCAAGAAAACATACCTATTGCAATTAAGAGTTCATACATCACAAATTTGCTAAACTATAAATCTGCATACTTCCATATTTCACATTTACTTTTAAAGGGAAAAATTTACTTGTAAATATAATTTGAAAGCTCCACCCTATAGTCAGGAAAATAAATTTAAAACCAAATTCTTTCTTTCCATCACGAATCCAAACTGTTCCATGGACATGAGCTGCTCCAAAGTGAACAGCCCCGCCTAGATGGCAAAGGTAGCTGGGGAGAGAGGCCTTTGTCAAAGGCATTCCTGCAGCAGGATATGCCACTTGAAGAGTCACAGCACAGACACAACAGACTCCAACTGCTTCACAGCAGCAGCATCATGATCTCCTAGGAAGTCACTGTCACTTAGTAAATTCTTGAGATTAATCTGAACTGAGATTTGATAGCCTAAGACAAATTACACCTCTGGGCATCAGCATTTCTAAACTGTCAATCATCCACAGTGCCTGCCTTAAAGAATTCTCTTTTTTCTCTCATAAATTATTCCCAGGCTCCTGGAAGTCCCGCCACAGTAGAATGAAAATGCTGCATTTGCTCCTTTACAAACAGACACAGATGTTCTTGATCATGGAGAGGCTCATGTACTTGTACCTGAACAATGCTGCCAACAGTGGGCATTCTTATCTAATGATCCCTTTTCATATAATCAGTTGACTTGAGATCTGTGTCTCCAAGTGGCATGCTTACCTTGTTTGTCATAATATTCATTCCTATGTTAACTGGAAGTACTTTAGGAAGTGCACTTACCTGAGAGATGCTATTAAAATCTTATTCTCTGAAGATGTATTTTCCAGAGGAGATAATCAAAATATATTACATGCAATAACATTAAAAACAATTATATTACCAAAGATATTTACCCTCTAAAAATAGGTGAAACACTTTAATTTATGTCTACCTGCATCTTTGGAAGTTCTCAGTTCATATAGCAACAGTTCTTTCTGCTTCTTTTCTGTATCTTGTATGGCAGCAACAGACTCCTGTTAAAAAACACAAGATGACATTAAGAAGCAGAGGCAAGTGCACCATAAAAACAGGCCGTGATTCATGGCCTAAGTATTGGTGGACTCAAGCTATTCCAGGCAGGGAATTACTATGTAAAGGCAATGGGGCACTGGTAGGACACAACACACAATCTGCCAAGGGCTTGCTCTGCAAGGGGTTGTCACAGTTTGGTTTTACCCAGGCATTCAAACTAGTTCATACTCAGAGACCCACCTCTGAGCACACTGCGAGGACACAACTGTCACATTTACCAGTGAATTTCAGCACGACAGCATCACCTAAGCAATGCAGATAGAGCCTGCAGACACCAGCAAGAGCTCTCCTAACAATCTGTGCAAAAATCTTCCTGGTTCATTTACATTAAGATAAACGATTTCTAAATACCTTCATCATGAAGCCAATTCATTACTGTTTCAAAAAGAAACATATCGAAAACATGATGAAAAGCCTCAGGACTCATAACATTTTTTCTATTCATACAACCAGTAAAGATCATAAGTACTGAATACTGTTTGCACAATAAATGTAAGTACACAAGAACCATTAACAGAAGGAGGTGATAGTAAGCACACTTATAGATGTAAAACACAACTTACCTACTATAAATCTTTGTATGATTCTGCTTTTACATACATTCTAATGGATTAATTATTTACAATATATTTTTTATATTATTCAGTCAGCAAATGTCACTATGCACTACCACACTAGGAAGTAGTGGTAGTTAGTGGTAGTAGTGGTAGTGTTATCTATACTCACCACACTGTATTTCTCACACTGTGACTCCAAAGCTGCATCATCATTTTTACAGTAGTCGAAGCAATGATGTTTTGACCTCCTCTCTCCACAATTCAGAAAAAAATAAATAAAATTTAACATGAATTTGCAGAAGCATAAGAGGTTACAAAGATACAATGGTAGATCAAATAATAAAAAATATCTTGTATATAAAAATGAGATCAAATTTAGGTAGCATAACGAAATAAGTCCTGAAAGCTAACACTTTCAAAACCACTCATTTCCCTTCCTGTGAAGGGAAATATGAATAACAACAAAATTTGAAGACCTGAATATGTTCTTATACCTCATTCTTTCAAAAAAACCCAAAACCCCATCATGTATCCTATTCTCTGTGAATTAATTAATTCAATAGTTAATAGAGTTAAAAATATCAGTGCCAGGCAATATGCAGCTCCACAAATCAGCACTGTTTGAATGTACATTTTTTTTCTTAAGACTATGGGGTAATACTATCATTTACATTACAAAACCAACATACCAGTAACTTCAGTAGCTGGAACAGGAAGTACAGAGTCCACAGCACCGTAAGACCTCAGAAGTTCTTTCATTTCTTCATCACAAGCTTGATCCACAGCACTTTTCCCTTCTCCGTTCCTCTCAAAGGGATTCGCTCCATGTTGAAGTAGAATCCTGACTGCCTATTATGTATTTTTATTATTTGTAGTGTGCTAATTCTTACTGTGGACTTATAATACAACTATGCGTGCTGTATCTAACACATACCACAAATAACACATATATAAATAAGCCACTCCAAAACCTGTTACACTTGCAATCCAAATTAAACAAACCAGATTAACTGGCTATTATCAATACAGACTTCCATCTTACATTTCTAATTTTTCCATTAAAATACACAAATGATTCACAAATTGTAATTAAACCTATCACTTTTATGGTACTATCATACAAAGCAATTAAAAACCATCATGTATCTAAATTAAAAGGAGCTGGTCAATTGAATTAAGACCAAAATGCAGAAAAGGAATAGATTTTTTTTTCTTTAATAGTGGTTTTGGTTTTCTGGTTACATGGACTGATAATTTTTTTCCTAATTCCAAATAACTTGCAAGTCTGCTTAATTATACAGTGTGGAAATGAGATTAGTGGCATCAGTGGAATCATCTATCCCCTAAAATTCAGATCATTTGAAAGTGCTGATGAAGTCAAAGCTCGGATGCTAAAGAATTTTCATACGTATGATTTCCCAATTTTAGCATTTCTTCTTATTTCTTACACTTATTTCTTACATTTAGAGTCCAGTTGAGTATAAGAAAGTATCAGAAAAAGATCAGAAGCTTCTCTTGAAGTTCAGAATGTTCTCCATTGGTTTTCTCTTGCAATACTGCATAATAAGCTTGTATGTTTGTAAGAACTCTAATGATAGTTTGACACCAGGCCTGTGAATCATCCCCTTTGTTTGTCCATTGTTCAAGGAAAAAGATAAATGTGATGAAACATGAGTTCCTCTGACAGAAATAGAAGCAGTATGTTTGAGCCAATCTGGAGTCATCGTCTTTACACTCAGTTCACCAGAACTCACTCTGCCAAAAGAACACTTTATTTACTTGTGCGCAGAGCTGGGCCCCACAATTTAAGAACGATGCGAAGGTCCCTGAATGTGCCTAGAGGAGGGCAATAACTGATGAGAGAGATGGAAGCCATGTCCTGCAAGGAGCCAGTGAGGACTTTGGGCTCGTCTAGTTTGGAGAAAAGGAGGCTGAGGGGCAACCTGAAGCTACAGTTTCCTGAGCAGGGGAAGTGGAGAAGGAGGTGCCCATCTCTTCTCCCTGGGACCCAGTGATAGGAATGGTTCAAAGCTGTGCTAGGGTAGGTTTAGAATGGACATTAGGAAACATTACTTTGAGAGATGGTCAAACACTAGAATGGGCTTCCTGGAGAGGTGATCAATGGCCCAAGACTGGGGCATTTGGACAATGCTCTTAACAACATGCTCTGACTTCTGGTGAGCCCCAAAGAGATCAGGTACTTGGACTAGACAATCACTGTAAGTCCCTTCCAACTGAAATAGTCTATTCTATAGAACAGCAGGCCTAGGGTCTTTACTAAAAAGAAAATTTGTACAGTGGAGGTGGTGAGACACTGAAACAGGCTGCCCAAAGAAGCTGTGGATACCCCATCCCTAGAAATGTTCAAAGTCAGGTATGACAGGGCTTTGAGCAAGCTGAGCTAGTAAAAAATGTTCCTGCCTGTGGCAGGGGTCTTTGAGGCCATGTGCTCCTCTGCTTGAGCCATAACCACCAGGGGCAGCTGTGATGGTTGCACCAGCTTACCCAGACTTTGGGTGATGAATGGTAATAAGGTAGCCAAAGACTGTCTGGAACAGTGACCCAGGTGTCTTGCTGGTATGCAAATATGACTGTAAGTAAATCATCTTACTCCATAAATAACGGACAGTCCTGGGCTCTTCAAGCTCTCCTGCACAGCAGTGGTCTGCACACCAGGATCTCCCCTTGAGTAGGGACATCTCTCAAGGTTGCTCCTCAAGACTGAGAGATTCCTTGCCACAACAGATCCTCAGTGATTAACTGCATGCTAAACTTTGAAATCTTAGTTAAGTGATAGAAAGGATTGATTGTGCACACATAACTCTTTAGATATAAACTGCTGAGTCTGGGACCAAGTCTGGATCTAGTCATCTGAGACAGAGTTTAGAAGTCCTTTCTGGACATCATGACTCAACAGGAGGGTCCCCCTTCCGGTTCTGTTCTGTCCTCTATGCAGTAAATAATCAATGCATCTTGCCTTAAATCTTGTTAAACAACTGTCACGTTTACCAGTGAACTTTGCTAACTCACTCTTTTCTATCAATAAAGTATATTGTTGCTTCTCTCTGACACGTGAAATGCATCACTCTCACCTGCAGCAGGGTTGGACTAGACAATCAAACTGAGAATGCTCAATTTTAGTATTAAAAAGCCCAAACCTGGGAGAAAAACAAAGGAAGTTTCTGAATTTTTATGATCTGTCTGCTGTACTAAAAAGGGCAACTAACTGTACAATTTCAACTGACACTACTGAAAAATATTTCTTTCTCTAATTTGGATCACTTTAAAGAATCCTACTTTATCTCCTAAATGCAAATCTACACTTAAATGAAATGAGGATTTTGCTCTGCTGACCTTCTGCTGGAAATCAGCTTCAGAAAATCTTAAAAGAAAGAAAAATGCACCTCCGAATAATTGCCAGAAACAGCATCGTGTATTGGTAAAACACCATCCAGACTTCTGCTGTTGACATCAGCACCTGCCTTCAGTAATTCTAAGATGACATCAGTAAATCCCCCATTGGAAGCTTCATGAATTGCTGTCCAACCTAACAAAGGCAAGGCGACACATACAGCATGCATCATACATTTGATTTGGAAAGATCCACACAGATCACTTATTAATGATTATACATTGTGCTGCATTTAAGATAAATCATATACAAATAACCATCTTGAAATGCCAAGGTCAACTATTTTCTGTGTAATTCAGTTTACCTCAGAAAAATGTATCCAGTACTAAGCAGAAAATATACTGCTTTCTTTTCTACTACAGTACTAAAAATAACAAACGAAACAAAACACTGGAGTAGAAAAACTCTAAAAATTCAGAAGCACAACATTAATAGTCTGATTTCTAATCTCAGTAGCATTTTATAATATTAAGTCTGCCAGATATCAAGAATAGGATACAATACGTTTTGAGAGTATGAAAACAGAAATATGTTATACATTTAGGCAGAGAAAAAAGAAAAGATAATCTTGTCATCTGGTTTTTGTCCTTATTTCTTAAAGAAATAAGACCTGTCTGAATGTGCTTCCCACACATTCATACACATGTACATGAGCATTATTTCTCTCACCAAACTTTCAAGTTCACTTTCTCTACACATCTCTGAAAATGTGTTCTTCAGCAGAAAAGCAAGACCCTATTAACATGCCTGCTGAGAAAAAGTCTGCATGACTTCCATGCTGAGACACAAAATCCAGGTATTCATTGATTGTGCTTGCACTTGTTTAAGGAATTCCTTTCCTCCTTGCAATTTTAAGTCGAGAATCCATATTTATTCTACAAGTTATGTAAAAATGTATCATAAAAAAGCCCATAAGAGAGTAATTTTCAAACCTGCATGATCCTGTTCATTAACACAAATTCCAGATGATATTAGAGTCTTCACCAAGGATAAATCTCCTCTCTTAGCAGCAATATGCAGCTGAGTTTCTCCTTTTTCATTTCTCTTGATTTTCTTCTTTCCTTCAGTTCTTGAATTACAGGTAGCAGGTACAATTACAGCTTCTTTTCTGGTAGATTCTAATGGCACATTGGGTGTTCCTTAGGAAATTTTTTCACAAAGAATGTTTAATTATAAACAGAAAATTAAGCTTCATAACTCATTTGAATTACTGTAAATGTGTGCAATACTGTTGTTTTAACTATTCAATAACATTAACTAACTACATCAAAAGGTTAGAAGGTAGTGTATAAGAGCTCAGATAACAAACAGACCCTAAACAAAAAAAGTTAAAGTTCAAACCTAGATGATTTAACAAGGGTACAACAAATGTGGGATGAAACAAAAGGTAACAAGGCTGAAGTTCTATACTCTGTAGAGGTAGGGAGTATGTTATGTTTCTCCACGGACTGCTTTCACGGTGCCAGTCATGCCTGCTAAATACATAAACTACATACATAATTGCATTTAAGAAACTATATTAAATTATATCAGTTCCTAATTCTATATCAGGGAAAAGACAGATACGTGTGTATACATATATATATACACACACACATACACATACGTATAGGTATACATACAGATAAGTGAATATGTATCTATATATCTATATATATCTATAAATACATAAGGTATTTTTACAGCTCTGATGTGAAGAAGTTCTCTAGGCTGATTACAAATTTTTGATTAATATTTACTGGCATAGATAAACTGTCTTTTAATTAAACCTGTGCAGGATTGGACCCATAATTGTAAATAAACTTGATTTAATCCTTACTGGTTCACAGAGCAAACAACACTCACTTTAAATGTTATCATGTGATCATCAGAAAGGTTCTAGTTCTGAAGCTTCAAATTCTAATTCTGAAGCTAATTCAAATTATAAGAAATACAAAGAAAAAACCAGATTAACGAAGTACTGATTATGCATGTAGATAAGGACAACTCTCTCCTCAAACTGCTACCAAAAAGACAGGATATACAAATCTTCAAAAGCTCTACCATGCATGTTAGCTTTTTAAAAACTCCTGTACTTTCTATTATAAAAACATACTATCAATATTTTCTTAAAAATTCACAGTGTTCTTTCTCCGTTCTCTTGAAAATCTGTAATTCATTCAAGAAACCTGAAAGAGTAAGGTTCAAAATGCGCAATTTTGCACTTTGCTCTTATCCTTGGGGTTTTTGCTAATTATTCCTATGAACAATCAGTTGCTGCGTCTTCCTCATCAGACTTGCTATTCTCTCAAATATTTTCAGTCAGCAGTATCCACTGGTATCAAACATCTTCCATGATTTGACAGCTGCCTTTTTTCAGGCTCCTCCTGCATTCTGGAAAATTTGCTTTTCCAGTGTGTCCTTGAAGGTAAACGACTGAGCTTTTCATCCAAGACTATTTGGATGAACATGAAATGATATTAGAGACAGATATATACTGGCAATATATCCATACTAATTTTAAACTATCCTGTTCAGGCACTGCTGCAGCCAGACTATGGCAGCATGGAGCTCATTGTAGGCTTTTCAAACCTGTCAGAAAGCATTCAGGTAGCCCTCTTTGCACTGAGGGTGCTTGGCCCACCCTGTATTGGCAACTAGAAAAGCTCAGGAGTTCATTTTTTAAATGAAAACTGAGATTCTAGAGCACACAGAGCCATCACGTTATTAAAATACTTCTCCAATTTGAGACCTACTTTTCCATAAGATAATGTATTGTGTTTTGTCTAAAAGCTTCTGGGTCTGAACTCCCAAAGCAATCATCTGCTTTCTAGTTCTTCCTTTTCTTTCCCTCTGATTCATGGGAGAATGTCCTAGGGACTGTTTGGAGACATCTAAGAAAAAAAAGGCACACAACAGCCCATTAAGCTAATGACCCTTAGCAATATTGGCTGCCAGTGAACAGAAATAATTGCAGAGTTTTCCAGTTAAATTGCCATGCACAACAGTTTGCTTCATGGCTGTTAGGAAACATTTGCAAAAGCATAATGGGACATTGGTATGTGAGTCAAAATACTGGTTCTCTGTGGGATGCACTGCCAGGTGGGTCATGAGCAGGAAAGATCCAGATCTCAGCAAACACAAAGTCCACTCAGCACAGTACAAAGATAAAATGAAGAGATTACAGTAACCAGCAATCAGGTTAGATCAGGCTGACAAACTTCAACAACTTCAAGGACACTTGAAGTGCTTAAAAAAGACATTTGAATACCTCAACATTGATCTAAGAGCAATTATTTCCACAGGTTGAACTGTAAGAAAAGAAGCAAGCTGTTTGTACCTTCCTTCTATGTAAGCACATTAGGAATGTTGGGAGCCTAATAAGTGACTGACTATAGATGACAGTAACTCTGCATCATTTCAGAACAAAAATTTTTATTCAAGAATAGAATAATATAAGGAAGAGAAGTGGGAAGTAGGAACAATCAGAAGACAAACAAAGGCCAGTTAATGAAAGAAAGGTGTAAGAGAGCAAAAAACCCAAAAACTCCACAAGTAAGAAAACATTATCCCATCTTCCTTTTTTTTCTACTGCAATCTGAATATCACTGTCCCAGACCCCAAACTTATTAAGGCCTCCAACTGTATGAAGGGCTATACCTTCTTGTACCACCTCTCAAATGGCAACCCTCTCCTGGTATGAAGGGAATAATTAAATTTTATATGAATAAAATATTACCCAAAGAATCTATTTTGAGTTAAAAACGCAGCCTGGGAAATGCTATCCCAGTGGAGACCAAAATATAAGACATATGTTTGGAATAAATTTTTTTAAATCATAATTGTATATATAGGAGGCAAAAAATTGAAATAAAAAAACCAAAAACAGACCTTACTATTAAGGTTCAGCAGGAATATAGGAGCTACAAAAAAGAACATCTATAGAAAAAGGAAACATTGCTACGTTAAGTGTTTATTCTTCCAGTAATTAGCAGTGGATGATGACATGTATTAGATATGCCATGGATTTTTTTTCCAGCATGATTTAAAAAGGCATTCCTATAACAGAAAAAACAAAATTTAGAAATAGGGAAAATAAGCACTGACACTGCCAAGAATTGGAAAGCAGTAAGTAACAAGATCATGAAGCCCATACAATTACTAGTAGTAATTAGGGAAATACAGTTTAACAGATTGTCCAAATTTCTCCATTTAGTGATGATGCTACGATAGAATAATTCTTTCTTACCTGATACTGAATATCCCCTGGATTTTTCTATATAAGTTGTAAGAAGTTTCCTCATAGATGGGTCAGAGGCTTCTTCTAATGCACACCTTCCCATCTTATTTTTTAATAAGGGATCAGCTCCATACCAAAGTAGTAAGTTCACTATCTAGAAAAAATAAGTTTTTCATATTGTTTCTCTTCCGGCAGTATTTTCCATACTCCTTATACAGGCTTCTCTCTCTTGTACTTGACAACATGAGCAACTAAAATGAAATTTCTCTATATTCTAGTTCAAATACCTAAGCATTCCCCTAGATAAGGCATTATCCTGTAATCTTATTATTTTCATTTTTATAAGTTGTTCCAGTTGCCATTAAGATAAGGTCTCCCAAAATACAGCTCTTAACTGGTAGAAAATAACAGGGTGTGAGCCAGCTTATCCATTTAGGACACCATAGAATGCACAGAGTTGGAAGGATCCACAAGGACTGAATCGAACCCTTAGGCCTGCACAGGACCATTCCCAAGACTCACACCATGTGCCTGAGAGTATTATCCAAGCGCTTCTTGAACTCTGTCAGGCTTGGTGCTGTGACCACTTCCCTGGGGAGCCTGTTCCAGTGCCCAATCACCCTCTGAGTAAAGAACCTTTTTCTAATACCCAACCTAAACCTCCCCTGAAACAACTTCAGGCTCCTGTTACTGGTCACCAGAGTGAAGAGATCAGTGCTTGCCCCTCCTCTTCCCCTCATAAGGAAGTTGTAGACTGCAATGAGGTCTCCCGTCAGTTTCCTTTTCTCCAGGCTGAGCAAGCCAAGCTGCTCCTCACACAGTTTCCCCTCAAGGCTCTTCACCATCTTTGTTGCCCTCCTTTGGACACTCTCTAAGAGCTCAAATCTTCCTTGTTTTGTGGTGCCCAAAACTGCATACAGTATTCAAGGTGAGGCTGCCCCAGTGCAGAGCAGAGTGGGACAATCCCCTCCCTTGACCGGCTGGTGATACTTTGCCTGATGCCCCCCAGGACACGGTTGCCCTTCCTGGCTGCCAGGGCACTGCTGATATCTACCTTAGGACAAAAGAAATCCTGCTCTAGATGTGTTGATTGTGACTCCTGTGACTGTAAAGGGGAGTTTTGACAGCTATTTCAGATATGCAAGATATATCTGATCAAATGAAACCCATTCTGATGGTCTTACTAATATTATGAATTTTGTACAAATATAAAGCCCGATTCTGATCTTATTCAAGAAATGACCTTTCTAGCAGAATGTTCAGCCAACCTTTACAGGATACTTTTTTAAGACATGAGAAATTTACAATCTGATTATTTCATTGCTGTGGGTAACCCTGCAATCTTATTCCACCACTAGTGTGATTTTACTTGTACCTCTGCTGTTGTCACTTCAGCACATTATAATTTCAGACTGAACTTGACTCACATCCTCTACCCAAGTGTCAAGTCCCTCATTATTTCTAACCAGATTGCTAATGAGAAAATTGTTAGTGAAGTTTTCTCAATCCATACATTCTCCTAACAACAGAGTAAAATATAAAGGGTTCAATCAAGAGCAAAAGCCCTCTTGGGTTTCATAAGTTGTCCCAAACCTTTGGATTTTTTCACCAGTAATGTTGATAACTCTTCTTCCACATCTGCAATCATATACACTTGTATGCTCTCCCCCTTAACTGTACTAAAAAAATCTTTCCTATACTTACCATTTTTCCTGAAATAAATTAATTTGGCATATTGCAGGCGCAGAAAGGGATAAATTAGTAGATAAAAGGCCTGTTTCCAATCTATAATAATTTCATGCAACTGTGAAAAAAACAGCTTCAAATACCATGTTACCAAAAGTCTGAATCACCATCACTGAATCACTATCACTATTTTGTTGCTAGTCAGAAACAACAAAAAGTAAGTCTAACAGATCACTGCAGTAAGACAATTTTACTGATACTGAGTAAACAGAGACTGAGTAAATGCAGCACCACCAGGCTGTACCATTCCTGCTGGACATACCAGCTTGCGTAACTCTTAGCTCTGTGCTGAATGATCTTAGTTTGCCTTGAGTGATCTAGGTGAGATGACTGTTCGTCCAATATCATTCTAGTTGATGGCCCCTAAATATTACTTGCAGAGATGCAGAGTTCTTCATGCATACCCATGGACATGGTGTGCTAGATACAGTCACAGAACTCAGAAATATGTCTTGAACCCGCAATAGTCTGTGATGCACAAGCTGAAGACCATTCCTGGGCTCTCAAATCTCAGAAAAAATTATTAGCCAGAAGTCCACCCTTCCTCTTTGCTCCTGGGAGATTTGTGAGGAAACGGAATAAATCTCATCTCAGTTGTGAAAAAGGGCAAATATTTAGAGACAAAACTTATTACACTCCACAAAAAAACACTTAGAAGATCTTGGAAATCAGTCACTTAGACAGCATACATGCACTTCTAGAGAAAGAAACTACAAGCAGATAAAAGGGACACATAGAAATCCTACATACTTTTGGGTCACCCTAGAAATATGCACAGACATGAGAGGTGGAGGCAAGCACTGCCAGACTGAAAGAGGATCCACAATTCAGACACAGGTTTATGAAACCACAGCATTTGGCAACAAATCTTGCAATTATTTCACATTCGCTGTTCAGTTAACTTTCAGTTTTAAGACAAAATATAAAGCCGTGTCTTCATAACCCACCATGCCACACATGCCACATGTTAATATAGGATGTGCACGGTTGTGGCAGCATGCCATACATGTGGGATTATAAAACCATGTATTAAACAGTAGTAATCTATTCCTCAGTGGTACATTGTCCCCAGCAGTTAGAAGAACAATTCATTTATTCTTTGGGAAAAATCCTGTTAAGCAGGGAACGTTTTGAACAGAAATCAAGCAGTAAGGACTTGCAAGCTCCTGAATTTGCCTATAATCTGAAAAGACCAGTCATATGCAAAAACATAATGTGACCTTCTAGACTCAACAACAATAATTTGTATTCCTAAATCACAATTTGTGTTCAATTTGGAATATACCTCATAATGGCCTTCTTTAACTGCATCTTGCAACGGTGTTATCTGTTCCTTTTGTGTAGCATTAACATCAGCACCTGCTTTCAAAAGCAGATTTGCTATCCCATAAAAGCCTTCCACACTTGCTATATGTAGTGCAGTCAAGCCTATGAAAAAGAAAAGCATGTATTTCACACTTGGGTGAAAAAAATTATAAAAATTTATGTCAATTTTAGGTTACCTATTTGATAAAGATTTCACAGAGTATACTGAAAAGGTAAAAAACTATGCATTACAGTAAGATATATCAAGAAATGTTTATGAAAAAGTCACAAGGGTTGGGACATCTCATGCTTTTGACAAAATTTGCACCTACTGAAGAAGTAGTCTTTGCTGTAACAACATTAGTTTTAGATTTTGTGGTTCTGTTATGAAATGAGAGAATTATTTGAGCCATATCTTGGTAATTTCTCCTGGAACAAAATGCATATGCTTTTTCAAGAACAACGTAGTTTTTCGTGGCACTCTTATTTACATAGCTGTGCTGAAGAAGCTTAGTAAGAAAGAAGTTACTAAAATAAAGATGTGATCTATTACCAAACAAAAATGGTTTTTAAGACTAAGAATGATTTGTGTGTCCAAATAAATTAAAATTCCCTACTCAAATTCCATCTTCATTCCTAGCTATATAGAATAAACCAAGATATGAGCTTCACAATAGAATTTTACTTTATGAAAGAGGTGTTGAGGAAAAATGTGGAATATAAGTCTTTGAATTGAGTTTAGCATAGCCATACATCAGTTCCTTAAACAATAGGGTGAGACAAATAAGGCAAAAACAGAGAGGATTTTCCACTTCCTACCTTCCAGCTTTCAAATCAACACACCCTCCAGAAGACCATTTTGATCAACAGTCTTACTCTTCAACTATCTACCATTACCAGAAGGTTGTTGGGGGTCTAATTCACATATTAAATATGTGAATATTAATAATGAGACATAATAAATATGTCTCATATTAAATGTGTGAATTAATACGGCTTAATAAAACTTTTTTGCCATCATTAAGCAAAATTATCTTAATTTCATTGGAGAGAGAAACTCTCAAGGCTTATACATAGCTGAACCTGGAATATGCTATATTCCTTTGAATTGTGTTTATTATTAAATCTGTTAAGGAGAGAATAAAAAGGTTTGCTTAGGGGAATGTATTAATTTCTCCCTCAGTAAAATGTATCCCCTATCTGATACAATAATAAGGCCCTGAAAAATTGCACCTACAACACATTCAATTAATAATTCTTAGGGATTAGCAACATCAGGCAAGGATGCTGTGCAGGCTCCAGATCAAGAAGAAACAGAAGTTTCACTGCAGCTGTTTTTCAGGTCCCTTGAAACACTGTAAATCAAGACTCAAACTGAGAGCAAAAAACCAGATCTCTAACATGCTGTTCTTATCCTACAGGCTAATGTCCAGGAAATAAAAAGGAGAAAAAAAACCCCAAACTAAACAAGAGAAGATCCCAAGAACTCAGCAAAGTACTGAAGCAGAATATTGTAGCACAGGAATAAGGAAAAATACAAGGCTAAAATACGGACAATCACTGGTGGGAGGCTTTAAAGGAAGAGAATAGGTCCAGAGGCAGAACATAATTCAGAACAATGACTACCAAAGAGATCAAGATGAAAGTGCATGTGAAAATGGCACAGGTCTGGCAACTACCTTTTTCTGACTATACCTGCCTCCTTTAAAAAATAATAAAAAAAAAAAAAGCAGGGCCAGGTTAACCTCTCCTCTCTTCAAGGAGTACAACTAAAAGATACTTTGTGCAGCTGTGCTGTTTTTGCACCAAAAAAACAGCAACCAGAATCTGGGGAATGAAGAAACGATGGCAAAACATGCAAAGGCAGAAAAAGGAAGCAGCTGTGACAGCAAAAACTAGAACGAGTGCACTTTGGTATACTTGCCTACTGTGGCTGCACTATCAGCACTTCTCTGTTGCCAGCATGGGGCTTTGAACCCCATCAAAAAAATATTTTCTCATCTGCCTCTAGCACAAGTGAATACATATTATGAGTCTCTCTGTTAGCTCAAACATCTGCACTGTAAAAGTCTGAAATCCACTGCTGACCAATCTATTTCCCAGTATATTCCAGAAGACAGACAATTTTTTATTTAGTTTTGGACTGTTGTGTGCCTGTATTATGCAACAGCCTATAACTGCAGAATGCGGTTTTTTTCCTTTCCCACGGAACTGTTGTGAAATCCTAGACACTAGCATGGTATGGAAACACTCTAAGAATTAATCAAAGTTTCTACCAAATGAGCCAGTTGCCTGAAGCAACCTTCTCTTTTGTTGTGGAGGTTTATCAGATACTAAGGGAGGAGACAGGGAAGTGCAAATAAGAAACAGTCTAATATTTGAAGAAACCAAGTGATATTTAAGGTGCAAAGCCTTTGACGCAGAGTCACACATGAAACTGGATAAGGTGAATTGCTTCACACAAAACATTAACAGCTGGCCACTATTTGTCATTTCTTCTTTTTCATGCCCATGATGAAAGAAAAATGGAAAATACCAAGTAGTCACAACTTTACAAAGTTAGAACAGTGCCAAAATATAACTCAACTTCCCTTAAGATCTACTGGGCAAAATCAAAGTCCCTGAAAAATTAAACTGGAAAATCTACATCTTGGTGACTCAAGTTGGTCACTGAAGTGGGCAAAAATACCCCCAACTTTCAAACCCATGAAGTTGATTATTTAATTAGGGACTACTTTGTGATAAGCAGGCACAAAACTGTTGAATTAAGGCTAAGTAAACCTAACTGCATCACTATGTAATTTTTAAGTGCTTACTTTTCCCTCAAAATTTTCTTTTCTCATATACTTTTATAAGTAGATTTACATGTTTTCCCACGAACAAGTACCAAGTGAAACCAATAAAAATTGAATAATCTATTGACCAGTCACAAACCTACAGTCTTGTCCACTGCACAAACTCATAATATATGCTTTTATTAGTTATACGTGGATACCTGATTGAAAATAGTATTTTAATAGAACTGCAACTTACCAGCATAATCCTTCGCATTTACATTTCCACCAGCTTTTATGATCTTACATACAAGGTCTACATCTTGATGAGTAACAGCTCTATGCAGTAAATTCTCACCATACATATTTCTCCTGTGGATTGTTGAAAGCGTAAGAGGGCGAGTCAGACCCTTACCAAAGGCTTCTCGTTCTGAAAAACAATGTAAAAGCTCTGTTGTAAAGAAAAATATTCTTTCTCTCTTATTTTGGCACTTTGTGTTACAGTTGGTAAATGATCTCTCTGAAGAAACAAATGTTCATTCAATCCAGTATTTCATAACACACATCACCAATTAAATAATAATACCATCCAATAAAAGATGCCATAGGGAATTCCATAACAAAAATGCAATTGAAATGCAACACACAGAAATATGACTTTGCAAAGGTGTGTTCAGACTTCAAACTTCAGACTTCTTCCTTCGAAAGTGCATTGCTTCCCAATGGATGATAAAACTGCTATTTTGCAATATAAATCATTGTAAGGAGACCATTTCAATAACTAAGACAGTTATTCAAAAATTTAGCTTTTAAAAAACCTCAAATTTATCAACCATTATTTTGTAATCATTTCTTTAAAAACCTCTGCTTTGTGAGGAAGTATTTATATTAGGATAGTGATTTAGATTGGCTCCTCAAAGTACCTTTTCCCATTACTTCACAGCCAGCTCAGACTTTTCTGCAATGAGTGAAAGGGGAATATGAGGCCTAAATATAAAAAATTAAGTTTAAAAGATACTATTATTAATTTTTAGTTTATTATTATATAAAACAAATGCTATCTCCAATTTTGCATTCATCATAGTTTTCATCTTGGCTGAAATTATTTCCAATACATAGATGAGCTGTTCTGTACTTCACTAGCAGTGCCATTCCAGCATCCTTTAAAACTGTGGAGAAAAGCATCCTGGCTACTGCATCTGATGAAAAACAAAAGGAAGAAAGAAGGGAAGAAGGAAGGAACAGGAGAACTGCCTGCAGGAGAACACAGTGCATGGCCTAGGCCATTAATTCATCTACTAATGAAAACCCTTGGGACAGCAGGCTACATACACTGCTCCTCTCCACAGGCTATAGCAGGTCTGTCTCTCTGGCCCTAAAACTGCCCAGTTGTCAGAAACAGACCTTAAAAACCACAGTTCTTCTAGAGTTGTAACTCGCACAGCCTGATGTCTCTGTTTTGTATATGGTGATATACTGTGAGCCCAGACTGATTTCCAACCTTCTTAAATTCTTGAGTCTATGTAGATTTTTAGAATCTAACAGATATGGGTTTACTCAGGACCTTCCCTCAGCTGAGCACATGGACAGTCCCTCTCCTCTACTTGCCCAGCCTTGCAAGACCTTGATAATTTCAGATATGCAGTCATTAGTCAAAGCTGGTCTAAAGTAGTCAAGCAGTTCAGGAGGGATTAAACTGCAGAGACATACACAAAACAAGGTGCAGTTTTATGCTACAATTTACCTGATTCAATTTCCTCCTTCAAGAGAACCTATTTCCCATCACTTCCACCTTGCCTTCCCTAGTGCTTTCCATGCGCCTGACCTTGTGCTGGCCCAAATGAAACTTATCATGGGGCTGTTTTCTCAGAGAATTATCAAACTAAGGTGAGTCACAGGCTCTTGATTGCTAGATCTGACACAAAAGGGAGATAAACTTGCTAGACTGGTTTAATGCAAAGCTACCTCTACAGGCATTGCGACTCTTTCTGCGGAAATCATGCTAAAGAACCAACAGCTTATTTACTGAGTGGAAACTAGTAAGTCATTTTAAAATAGATGAGCAGCTACTCATTCAACTTTAAATCTCATCAACATAGTGCTTCTACCATGAATAATTAAAATCTTGCAAAAGAGAAGGTTAATTGGAGGTAGATTCTTCACATTTTGTAAGGTCTATAACTTAGCTGTTACAGTTCAAATACTTTCAAACTTTGTAAGATGTTTAAATGACTGTAGATTCATGGATAAATCCCAACTAAGTGGCCTTTAAAACAAAACAAAACAAAACAAAACAAAACAAAACAAACCACAACCACAACTTTTAAGATTCCAGTCTTAAAGGTGCTGGAGTGAGTACCTTTATCCTCCTACAAAATTCCTCTGTGACGTAAATAACTTATCTGCATGTATCTTCAAAGGATGAAAACCAGCAATCTTTCTGTCTGACAAAGCACATTGCAAAGAAAAACACTTCAAAAGGTGCTCCATAACTGTGGCAGTGAAGGCCCTATAATCCTGTAGACAGGATAACAACACCAGGCATTCAAAATAGAATAAACTGTTTTGTGGAGGCCAATTCTTGCAGATGGCACTGCCCTGAGAATGAAGTTGCACACAGAACACAAAATGATAGAAGGATATATAAATGCATGTCATTTATATAACTTTTCACTCTGCATGCAAACATCTCTCTTCTTGTCAGAATACACTGTAATTTTTTTCATATAAAACATTGTGGTAAAAACTGCATCCTGAAAAACTTCTCATGATTCTTAGGGAGTTTATGCGAACAGATCAATTGTTAGGTTGGTAATATGAAGGTTTTCAGAAGTGAGAGAAATTATCAATAATTTTAATTATTAAAATTAATGTTTCTATCATCTCCTAAAAAAAAAATTTATGCCACAATATATTGGAAAGGTTATTAATTGTATTTGATTCAGTATAGTTTTTCAAATAATAAAATGATCTGTATGATAACAGTATAGAATATCTTACTCCGTTTGTTGTCAATTCTCTTGCTCTTCCTCTGATTAGCTTCTGTAAACTCATTCAGAATTATTTCTTGCCACATTCTGGTTTCAAGATTCTGCTTGTCTTTAGAAGTAGACTTCTGAATTTTACTGACAAGAGATTTGCTTAGAATCAATAGAAATATTCTCTATATAAATCAGTGTTTACAGTAGAGGTAAGAATATGAACATATTTGACATTAAAAGTAAGTAACAGCATGCAAGTACACAGGCTAATTTAGGTAGTACTTAATAAAGAGTAAATTGGGAGAAACGAACCTGCAGATCTTTGAATAAAAGGTAAAACCTTTACCTTTTGATCATTTAAATTCATTCACATGACAAATGCATTGTATTTATTACATTAATATTTTTTTTAAATTAAGAATATTATGCATTAATTTCTCATACTCAAAATCCTTAGGTTTGTTTCTTGCTACACTGCCACTGTGAGACATTCTCTGCTAAGCCTCTTCAACTATTTTCTGGTGAGAGGAAACACAATCTCTGTACCTTCCTAAGGAAGTCTCTCAATTGCTTCACTTACCTTGATATTGTTGGGGCTGTTTCTGCACATGCTGTAAGCTCTACTGAATGTGAATGTCCCTCAACAGTTTGCTTTTTACTAGAGGTGGCATCCCAGTAATCTGGAATTACTTCTTTCTCTCTCTGCTGGTCATCCACAGGTTGTGATAAAAAAAAAAAGAAATATTACAAGCAACCAGTAAGCATGCAGTAAAACAAGGGCATAAAAGTACATAAAAGAGCTCCAAGAACACTTATAAATGGTGTGTGTCTTCACAGACAACAGAGATGATGCTTAAGTGAATAACTGGAATTCTACAGATTCTGAAGTAGTATGCCATACATGTGCTCCTGACAGAAATAGCCAAGAGAATTAGGATACTCAGAATCACAACTTAAAACCTAAATCTCAGCTGGCTGACAGCGAACAAAAGTTGTTCTACCTGGAAGTTATCTTGACATAAGAATTGACTTAAGAGATTCATTTCAGTTTCCTATAGACATGAGCTCCTGTCCTAAAAAATTAGATGATGATGTAGATGTCTTAAGCTGGCCCATCTTATCTCACCCTTGCAGAAGCCTAGAAACATACATGAGGTAAGAACCATGTTTCACTCGAAGTTCAGTGACTCCCAACGGAGAAGTTATTTCTAAAGGCATACCATCCCTGAGCCACAAAACTATGGATGAGATTCGCTTCACTAACCTTCAGCCTTCCAAAAGCCAGGCAACTAGATGTCACTAGGCACCCTGATTACTCCCACCACTGATTAAGAGGAAGAGTCACTTTCAGGGATGATAGTGATTCACTCATCCTAGGGGGTGCAAATGATGATTCATGTATACCAGAGACTTATCTTTAACAGTAATGGAGAGAAATCCCACCCTAAGACAGGTCATCCCATGGAAGTTAATTTGAGTTACTTGAGTTTATTCCCTATTTTAGCCAAGTCAGTGTGGCACGCTGTTGTGTACCACTCAAGCTGCTGAAACCTGGGTACTCATTAGTTCATTACTCACTTGAGTAATGCTGAATGCTTTTAGGACACACCCGCAATGCACATGCATAGAAATTCTTTCTCAGTGACATGGAAGGACTTGATAGTTCTTTCCTGGGATACTGATAGAAATGGAGAATTCACTGATAATTTTTTTAATTGACATATTTAGCAGAGAGGCTACTCTGTGCTAAAGATTTAATTCATCAGAAGAGGTGAATTGCTTTCCCAGAAGTGGTCCTCCTGGATCAAGGGATGATGCATATCAACATAGGATATGGGGCTGATTAACCTGGAGAAGGGGAGGCTGGGAGTGGTCCCTATCACTCTCCGCAGCTACCTAAAAGGAGGTTGTAGTAAGGTGGGGATTGGCCTCTTCTCCCAGGTAACAAGGGACAGGATGAGAAGAAACAGCTGCAAGTTGTGCCAGGGCAGGTTTAGACTGGATATTAGGAAAAATTTCTTCACTGAAAGAATGGTCAGGCATTTGAACAGGTTGACTAGGGAAGTAGTGGAACCATCATCCCTAGAAATGTCAAAAAAAATGTGGATGTGGCACTCGGGGATATGGTTTAATGGTGAACAGGGTGGTTCAAGGTTGGATGACTGGACTTGATGTTCTTAGGAGGTCTTTTCCAACCTTAATGATTCTATGATTCTATGGTACTTGGGGAAAATCAAATATGTTACTTTACAAAACTACCACAGCCATACTTCTTGATGGTTAGAGAAGAAGAAGAAAACATTTCAATGAAAAGAAACCTCACACTTGCTTTATTAGAGACCATATAATAAAATAAATGGGCTATCTAGAACCCTGACTGCACCTACAGGACAAGACAAGCTCTCCTCTTTTGGGTACTTGTTTCACCACAACAAGAATACTCTGAAGAAACAAGAACGAGAAAAGACCAAGGTGAAGAATATACTGTTAGAATTCAACAGTTACTAACAAATTAACTGGGATATTTTTTTTCTCATTAAATTGCCTCCTTACTTCCTGCCTTCAAGAACCCCAGATGAAGACACAAAAAAAGCTAAAACTGAGTATTAATCAACAAGAGGTTATAGATACCTATTTCCACAAAACTCTATTTCATAATCTTAACTGTGATTTTGAGTAGAACATAAAGCTTCACACAGCTATGCTACAAATTTCAGAAATCAACACTTCACTGAAAGAGCTTTGTAAAGTGCTATGGTTCTGAGATAATTATATGAGAGACCTTGTAGCACCTTGAAATTGCCACCTTTGTGCCACATTTTATTACATGCTATGATATTCAGTTAATACCACTATGCAAAGACAGAATTAACTCATGGTTTTTGGATGCTTTATGCCATTGATGGGGAAGCAAAGCGGTTGTAAATCCACCTTAAATAGCTGGCTATATGTGACTGATGATTGATTTGCAGCTCCAGATTATTCAAAGACAACACAGATCAGAGAATCAGATTACAGGTTTACAAGAGATGCCTATCACTTTCTGTAGCATAAACATACATCTCCTATGTGTCCTTCTCTCTCCCTTATTATAATCTAAACAGGAAGAGATTATGGTGTTGCTTTCCCTTCATGGTCCCCTCCAGATTTTTGCATTTGAATACAAACTACCTATTCTAAAACACCTTTACAGCAGAAGGTGTAACAAGAAGGATCATACGCTGTGTCCACACATACACTGACTTCTTTAGGGGAGGACATGGACATAAAACCATGCCCTAATTTTTTTGAGCAAGTCTCACATAGGCAGAACTAAATCAAATAAATACACTTCTAAAAACATGTGTAAAAAATCCCCATTGAGTAATCTTTGCAGACTACAGAAAAGAAACAGCTGAATTTATTTTATAATACTTGCAAAGCATTTGTATGTTACAGCAGTGAGAACTGCAATGGAAGAAAACAGCACACTATAGCCTGGAGAAAAACTAGAACTGTATGGGGTAGAAATCTAGAGGTTTTGAAATTTCCATGCTGATTCTAGACTTCCACATCAGTCAGTGAATTCACTTTAACAGTATTTCCTCTCCCAGTAGGCTAAACTTCTTTATCACATGGATATATCAAAGCAGAAAATACACTACTGGACTTTTAAACCAAAAACAACTTAAATGATTTAAACATGCAAATTACTGATGCCAGTTTATTCTTTTCTAAGATTCCCATCTCCAAGTAATTTGGCTATTATAAAATATTTTATGATAAACAGAGATTTCCAAACATGAATTAACATGTGTATATATATACTTGCTCAATTGTTGTCCTCTGAGAGTCAGATCCTCTGAAGGCATTTATTCCTTCTGCCTGACTTGTAGCAAGTTGAGGGTCCATCACGTTTGTTATTTGTGTACAGTCATCATCTAAGTGGGGAGTACTGGGTTCTGAACTTAGTTGCTCTCCCTCGGTGTTAAGATGTCTCTCAGCTGGCACTACAGGAGTGACAGGTTGTACCACAGATCCTGACAAGGCATCCAGAGGCCTCACAAGCTCTACTGGCAGGGCATCACTGCTCTCAGCTGCTGACAGATCAATGGAAAAGGCATGACCCTGACACTCTAACATGTCAGGCAATGGGTTTATCACTTTAAGACTCTCAGAATCACCAGGGGATCTTAACATAGCACTGCCATCAAATCCACCAGTCTGTGTAGTCTGTTCAGTGAATACATCCATGAAAATCTCCCTTGGGGATGCCAGAGAAAGGTTTGTATTATTGTTAAGGGAATGCTCCTCTACTATGTTATCAGTGTCAACAGGGGTCACACAGGTCACAAGATGATTGTCACAGATGTGGCAATCATCTAAAACATGTTGAAATTTATCTTCTGGTGCCTGTTCATTTAGAACTGTTATGTCTTCCACAGGGCCATCTAGACAGAGGCTTATTTCTGGAGAGAGATCTTCATTACTTAATTTTTGTGTAATCTAAAAATTAAAAAAAAAGGTTACAAAAAGGAATGGAACAACTCTTTCTAAAAAGCATTTAATTAACATTCACTTTAGAAGTAATCTACATGTAGATATGTATATGCATATTTTATTATCAATTTTTGTATAAACTACAAGACTCAAAGCCCTCCTTCACATAATTGCAACAAGGCTTAGACTGAGGTCTCAGTTGCAAAAGTAGACCACTTCAGCTCTTGACTTTCACAGCAGTGAAAATCCAGAGCAAGAGAGACTAGATCTGTTAAAGATACTATGTCATTGCCAGTGACCCGAGGGTATTAAAAGGCTTTAAAAGAAAGTAATTTAAATTTTCTGTCAACCAGAAATAATGAAAGTAAACATATTCATAATAATACAAAACACATAGTTACTAAAACACAACATATGAGTTTTGATGATGTGTATCCCATGCAGATGTGGAACATTTGTGCCTCACAAGCTTCAGTTCAAAAGCTTAAGAGTTTGAGAAGTTTCCATATTTGAGTTTCCACACTGAGTACAGAATACAAAGGCACAACTGTTCTTGGAAATGTAATACTGCTTCTGTTTTTCTAACCACTTTGAGCTGCTTTCAACAGATGCACCCGTTTTTATACCAAGAAAGAGCTTTTTCATTTTTTTCCCTATCCCTGTTTCAAATGTTCTGCAGAGGAAAGCATGATGTCTCCACCAACCTAAATCATATTTTTTTCTTTTTAACATTTGTATATAATAGTGCTCTTACTTAGTAAGGCTGGATCTTAAAAAAGTATCTTTCAATGCATTTTTGGAGTCTTGCTGCCAGCACGTGGCAATACTGGGCAGTGCAAGAAACCTTTAACCACTGGTAACATGATTTCAATAAAGCTCACACACAATAAAACAGGGTAGAAATCTGACTCACATTCAGTTTGTAAGGAAATTTAAATCCCTGCTTCTTTGTTGAAAAATTACTCCTCAGGCAGTAATCCTATCTTATACCTTTGTATCTAATTGTTCCTTTTTAAGTACTGGCTACTTCTGACTTTGCTGTACTTAACTACACTTTCTTTTTAGACCACTTCTCTAATATATGCAGACTTTAAACAACTGCAGAAAAAACCTCTACTGACACAACCTTCTGTACTTGAAGAACTGTGGTATAAACAGTATGTATACATATTACAAATTTCCCAAGAAAAATGCTCAGTGCATTTGTTAACGGGCAGGTGAAACTTACATTTATATTAATGCAGAAGGCAGGCAATGAAGGATTAATTTTGCAAGATCCTAAAAACCTAAATGCCAACTGAAATCCAACCTGTACATGTGACCTGTTCAAAAAACTCCTGTCCAACTACAGATGCCTAAACTTCTTTGGCACTCATTTCTGTTGGCAAAATCCTGTGGGTCTTGCTCTACAAATAATTAAAATCTACAGAACATAAAAAAAGTTTAAACTTTCCCTCCCTAAAACCCATCCTCAGCTGCCACTTATGCATAAAGACACTTAAAAGCCCCAGTGCCTAAAGTCCCTGTACCTTCTGTTGAAAAGCAACAGAGGAGCTGCTGAAGAAGCAAAGCTGAGCCAGCTGTCACCAGCATCAAAACTGGGAGTTCTCTCTTCTGTCGACCCCAGCTTGGGAAATATGGTTTGAATATACCTAAGTTTCTCTCAAATGAGGAACAAGTATCAACACTGTGGTAAATGCAGTTTCAGGACCATCTTCCTCCAGAAAAGCTACTTCAAGCAATTAATTTTAAAAAGGGGTTTGTATGTAAAAAATGTACCACTTTGGCATAATGCCATTGATTATTTTATGCCAACCATGTCCTGGCATCTATGAATCTCTTCCACTGGTCACACTACTTCAAAAAACTTGATTTAAATCCCAGTATTCTCATGTCTTAATTATTCGCAGTACAAACCCAAATCACAGCGCTCCTTAATCCAGGCACAAATCCTGGTGACGTAGCATCAGCCAGAATGTCTTGTCTCCCTCGCCACCTTACCCACTAAGCGTGCACTGAGTAACAGCTCAGCATAGACACAGTCAATTCGAGCCTCAGCTGATTCACAACCCAGCACCAAAGGAAACAGGTAGACAGGGAAGTCAAGAAGAGGTCTCACAGAAAAACCAACAAAACGGATATAAAAACTGTATGTTAGTAGATGCACTGCATCAAAGGACAGTGAGCGAGCCAGGCTTTGCCAAGCCTTAGGTGTTTCCTTCTCCTTGTGCACTACATGAGCAAGGTTAAATCTGGCCTGGCAGCTCCAGCAGCCAGCAGGACATTCACATCACCTTGGTGCTGGTGAATCATGACACACAAGGACTTCTTTCCTATATGTTTGAGAACAATTTGAAAATTACCAAGAAATTTTAGGCTTTTGGGTGTCACAGCCTGTCACTTACAAATGTTATAACACAAAAAGGGAATGACTAATATTGCAGTATAAATAAAGGGTGGAGTAGAAATATTAAGTGGACTCCTGTATCTGATAGCTCTGAGTAAAATAACAGCAGAGAAGCTCAGCTGTTCAATACATACATGCAAGAGAATCACTATAGAAGAATTAAGCTTTCAGAGAGATCAACACTATCAGCTTCTGTAAGAAGACTTTGCTGGAGACTACTGCAATATACTGGCACATGAAGGAAGCACAGAGAAGTCACACATTTCTGTGAGGGTGGAAGGGACCTCTTGAGGCCAACTAGTCCAACCTTGCTGCTCAAGCAATGTCAGCTGCAGCAGGTTGCCCAGGACCACGTTCAGTCAGGACACAGGTGGAGAACGCACAACCGCTCTAGGAAATGTGTTTCGGTGTCTGACACCTCTTCTCAGTTAAAAAGTATGTTTTTGTACTTAGATGGGATTTCAGATTTCACAATTCCTTTTGAAGTTGTGTCCATTTCCTCTTGTCCTATCAGCAGGCACTACTGAGAAGTCAGTGTCCCTTATCTTCATTCCTAGTTGTCAGATGTTCATACACAGTGGTAAGATCCCCCTCAGCATTCTCTTCCTCAGCTTGAACAGTCCTGGCTCTATCAGCCTGTCCTCATATGGAAGATCACAGAATCACAGAATGGGCTGTAGTTCAATGCTCCTGCCATGGGCCAGAACATTCTCAAGTACATCGGGTTCCTTAGAACACTATTCAATCAGACCTTGCATGTTCCCAGGGACGGGGCATCTACCAGCCCTCTGGGCAACCTCTTCCAGTATTTCAACACCCTCACTATAAAAAATTCCTTCCTTATATCTGATCTGAATCGACCCTCCTTTACCTTAAAACTATTACACCTACAGGCCCGAAGGAAACAGTCTGTCCCCATCATTCTTATTAGCCCTTTTCAAGTAGTAGAAGGCTGCAATGAAGTCTCCCTGGAGCCTCCTCTTCTCCAGGCTGAACAATTCCAACTGTCTCAGCCTGTCATCATACGAGAGGTGCTCCAGCCCTCTGATCATCTTCATGGCCCTCCTCTGGATCTGCTCCAATAGGTCCATGTCTTTCCTGCATCCAGAGCTGGACCCCAGTACTACAGGTGAGGTCTCAAAAGACCAGAGTAGAGGGTCCAGGTCCTTCTACACAGAGCTATTTTCCAATCAGGTGGTCCCCAGCTGTACTGGTGCCTGAGGTTATTTCTCCCCAGATACAGTACTTCACACATCCCTTTGTTGAATTTCATTAGATTTCTCTCTGCCCCGTTCTCAAATCTGTCCTGATCCCTTTGAATGCCAACACAGCTATCTGGTATATAAGCTGCTCCTCCCAGTACCATCTCTGAACTTGCCGAGGGTGCATTCTGTTCCATTTTCCAGGCCCCTAATGAAGATGTTGAACAGTATTGACCCCACTACTGACAGACTAACCACAACAGAAATCAGTGTTGCTATGTCACCAAGGTCAAGGAAACATAGCAAGACTAATTTTGTGGTGTCAGAATTCTATGCAGATTATCTTAATTTATACATTTACCTTGTGTTTCCAGGGACACACAAAACTAAGATGGTCACTGACTCACTGCTGATTGCCAAGGTGTCTGTCCTGCCCTTGCTGCAAATCAGTAAGGGATGACCCTTGGTTCCTCTCACTAAAGATCGTTCTGCAGGACTCAGATCTTGCCAGTGCCAACATCAGCCAATATCCAAAAAGTATAATTCACTACAGTGATTATTTCCAACCTTCTTTCTCCAGTCTCCTAAAACATCCTCTCTGGAGATATCCTCAATGCACGCAACCTGCCTGTTCTCCAGAGGCTATTAATCATAGTCAATCTCTCTTTCAAAGCATTTAGATTTTGTTCTGTTGGACTAATTCTGTGCAATGAGAATGTTTCATTTAATAAACTTGGTATTATAGGCTTATATTGATAGCTGCATATTTTTCAGAAAAGAAAAGCCTAGGAGATTTGAAATTTTTTCTCTTTGTTCCCAAGTCAAAGAATACTTGGCCCTGGTCATCAAGGGTATTCGCTGCATGACATGAACAATTTGCCATACTGGTCTCAAATCTACCTTTGGTGAATTATATCAAAAATAGTTGCTTTTTCCCCAGCTATTACCTCAATCAGTAAGGCAGTTACAGATCTATTCCTCCTCAGAGACCTTCCAAATGTAATGCCTTTCCCATAACTTTCATTGGTGGGAAAAATTTTAAGCTACTCCAAGTCTTCATTGCTTTATCTTAAGTAACAGACCTTACAGATTCCATGTCATGATGATGTCTTCCCCACTTCCCTTTTACTCCTGTGCTCCTACCCTTGTGTTCTGCAAGCTTAGGAATTACAGTTCTTACCTAAAAAGCAGAAAATAAAGCTTAGCTTTAAAGCTGTTTTCGCCTAATGAGCTCAGTGACAGTTTCAACAGCTATGTTTGCTTTTTAAAATGAAAGAAACAAGTATTTTTCAGTAAAATACTCTATAAAGCTAAATAAATTATATGATGTTTTATATACAGTCTCTTGTAAAAATACACTTACCTTTTCTTCTGAATCCTTTTGAAATCCATTCAATTTGATACCTAAATTAAGGAGAGTAGACAAATATTTCCGTTTTATTTTCCACTTCTGAAAGTTCTTATTGCCTCTAAAATTGGCACCATTTCGTAAGTTTAAGTCTAAAGTTTCAAACCTTAAAAATTACTATAGTTGTGTTCCCTAAATGGAACTGACAATAAAATTTCTAGTTAGGCTCTGTTAGTCACTAAATTATATCCCAGAGCTATTTTGTCACATTTCTTCACTGTGGTTTAGAGGTCTGTCTTTCCAAAGACTGTCAGCAGATGATACTGCCACCCATTCCACAGGATAAGATTTATCCCCTGCCCTCTCTAATTACAATGCAATTAGACAATACTGCTAAAATAACCTAATAACTTACTGCCTCTGGAAAGGGATGATCCCAACCCTCCTGTTCCTATCACCCTGTTTTGACATTCACGTGAGTCCCTGGTAATTTCCTCATCAGAAATAAAGTGAGTGTTTTTCTGAAGGGTTAGCAAAAATAAGGTAAAGCCAGAAGACAGCTAAATAGATGGGGTAGTCCTGCACTGTTGGGAGCACAGAAGAATGGAGGCACAACTAACATAGCATCAAGTGACATACAGACATGAGGAATAGTAGCATTTCCATTTCTCCTTTCTTACAGATGCCTCTGATCCTTGGACATGTTAGTAAAAAGCATTTGGGAACTCTCAATGACCTGTGTACCTTATACCTCCATATGGCACTTGAGTATTGAGTTTATTTGTGTGGCCTATAACTTTTGTCAGAAAATTCCACAGCAATGAAATAATTTTAAACTGGATATATAGCACTGGATTGAGAAAACAGTTACTTCTTCAAACAATCCTAGCAGAACACTTACAAAACCAGAACTTTTAGTCCATGACTATAAAAACTAAACAAGTGTTGGAAAGAACACATATCATATTCTAAATAAATCTACATGGATACTCATCTTCAACTTCTCAAATTATTTTCTGAAATGACTTTGGCACAGCTAGAACAACTTCTAGTTTTGTACAACATACCTACAGAATTAAGTTGCTGTTCTTCTACTGCAGCATTTAGTGAAAAACCAGATTTAGAAATACTTTCAGTAGGTGATGAACACTTTATCCAATTCCTGGAATTAAGTAATACAATAAGAAGTTCTTAAAGAATTGTAATCTGCTCATTTTATGAAAATTTTTACAGTACTTCTAGTTTACTTCTGTAATTTTGTGCTAACCATTATTCATGAAAACAGCTGCAGTTATTTCAGAGGTACACTTTTATTTTACAAGAGCATGCAACAAATAAGACTTCTGGATTTCCTACATTGAACTAGCTATGTTTGCACATTCATTCTCTAAGTGAAGTAACAGCCTTTCCTGGTTTTTTATTAGTTCTTTCTATGTTTCTGCTGAAAACCTTCTATAGCTTCCAGGAACATAAGGTCTAATATTACTTCTTATAAATTTTTGTTTGTCTAATGGTTGTCTCCAACTTCTGTTACTCTTGTTGGTCATGCTCTTAAACCAATAAAGGTAATATCATCAATATAAATAAATCCAGGTATATACTGAACATAGAACTACCTGTGACATAAATACAGATCCTTCACTAAGCAAACAAGAAAACTGTTTCTCAGTAGTACACAGAGAATAAAATAACATACAAATGGATGTATAATGGAATTATTTACAGTATGCCTGACTGGAATTTCTATATGATGTATTATACTCACTGCAGTAGAGACTGAGACTGGTCACATGTGTATGCCTCTTGAAGTATCTAAAGAAATAAAAATTAACAAGATAGCAAACAAAGTACTTAATTATTTTTTTTGTTTTATTACCAATTGCCTATCTCCTTCCTTCTGTAATTGAGTTGGGAAATGGAATTTTTAGATCCTATCATTATATATGTTACTAATAAGAGACAAAAGTATTCTGCTTAAATCTTTTTTTTATTTATACTATTTGAGAAAAATGTTGAAAAATAAGACCGTGGAAGACTAATGCTCACCCAGAAGGAAAACATACCCATGCAATTAAGACACGAGTGCTTCAAACTTCGATGTTTTACACCTCAAAGGACCAAAACACAAGGTATTTTAACTTCAACTCACAGTTTTTATCTTCTTTTGATAACAACTCCCTTTTTTCATTAAATAAAAAAGGGTGCTGCTCCAGAGACTGAGAAGCTCAGTATAGCACTCTCAATATCCCTGTAAACAGCACAGTTTAATTACTTCAAGACCTGCACATCAGCAAGCTCTAAGTGGCAGGGCTGCCACATGCCAACACAGGAAAGAGCATGAGGGTAATGTCAAAGCATGTGCCGAATTCTAACTCTTCAGTACAAAGAGCTTGGACCTGCTTTTTGTGCCTTTGTAAATAAAGAAGAGATCTCCTCCAGTATGGAAAATGGAGCCTTTGTATACTTTATAAAGTATATAAGCCTTTATACACCTTTTCCAATACATAAAAAGGAGCCTTTATATAAAGCCTAAGACAAACTAGGAATGATTAAGATAGACAAGTGAACTGCAGAATGGTTCTCTCACCGATTAACTGAAGACTGGGTATCACTACTGAACTGTCTGCACACTGGCTGTAACTTTAAACTAATCATTGACATACAGCAGACATCAACAGCACTAGGAAGATTCTGGGAAAGAGCACCTCGCTGCAGACACCAAGTGATGACTTTTTTGGCTTACACAAGACATTAGGAAGGCAGGTAGATCAACCATCTTAACAATGACCTGGAGAGTAACAGGTGGAGACTGCCCAATAGCAGCACTGCTAAAAAGCTCCCTGGAACAGAACAGAGTCTTTAGTTTGTGCAACAATTATCAACTGAAATATGGCAATTGGGACAGTTCACAGAAAATTATTGACTTTGCTTAAATACACCCTTCAGGCGAGTCAGCCTGAATATTTACACGAGACATTATTCAGAGACCAGGCAAGGTCAAGAGAATAACAGAATAGCTATTAAACCCCTCTGATTGCTTTATGTTGCTCTTAAAAGCTCAGTGAACTACCCTTATAACTCAGAAGACAAAGGAGCTATTTTTCCTCCTAAAAAATTAAGTTCTAAGTAAAATCCATGTATTGCTCAGTGGTTGAAGGGTCTTCTCAAATCATGTGAGTTACACAAATAGTATTTGTGGTGATTGATTGGGAGTACTGGAACAGCTTTTTGTCCTGCCTCTTGGTTTTGGTAAGGAAATTCCTGCAAAATCCTAATAATTTTTTTTAATTTCAACACTTATTTATACAGCAAACTATATGAGGGGACTCTGGATGTGGTCCAAAGAAAGACTAATGCTAAATAGCTGTTAGGTGTTACCTAACAATTTTAGGCGCACTTCACCAAACAGGGCAAGAAAAACAAAGTATGGAAAAGTGAAAGCACAAACTTAGAACCATGACACCTGTCTGAACAAGCCATGGAATAGGGTGTTAATAGATAAGGAAAATGATTTATCAGTTGAAAAGATCTGGATCCCACAAAATCTGATGTATGTCTACTGCGTTTCTTGTGTAAGAAAATTCTTAATTACAATTTCTTACATGACGGAATCAAAGACAGGACTGCAGATCACAAGCCTTCCTCCAGCCCATCCAAAGATAGCTAAGACTCTCTGGAACAATTGGAATGCATGTTACATTTCCTGAAAAAAATCATAGCCAGTCCAGGCTGCACGACCCTCATATCACATCACATCTAAATCCTGTACTCACATCAGATCATTTCTTAAGACACAGTAGAAGGAAACCTTCTATGTAACTGCATTCCATGCTGGTTCTTGGAGCGGTTGGAAGAGCCACACTGCTGCAATCTACACATGTGGGTAACAAACATGACAGACCAATACCACTCCTTATAACATTCAACAAAGATTTAATTTTTACACTGTCCCCAAGCTTTGCATGACCAAGCTGCCAGTGGCATGCTATACAGGTCTCCCCTCCAAAAATCTAGCAAGGAGTACCCAAACTATTTGGTGAGAAGTACTAGGTTTCTTTGCTTTTCTGACCTTCTCCCTGGTGTACAGGGTATTTGTCCTTAGACTTGGAAGAATCCCTTACTGGGATTGCAGGCTGCCTAATCTGCTGGTAACGATGAAGCCAAAGACATAGGTTAGCAAGAGGCTAGTCAGATCAGCTCCTAGAGCGGAAGAGAACAAATATGCACTTCTCTTATTCCCTCCATCCTTGAAAAAACACTATAAACTTCAGTCAAGACAACCCTGGGGCATGCAAGGAGAAAAATAAAGTCACAGAGAAAAGTCTTTGAAATAACAGCATCTTTTGGAATTTTGTTCACTGTTTTCCACACTGTCAGCTGAGACAAATTTATTTGCAATCCTATAATGAGCTGTAAAAACATTTACTCCAGTAGAATTGCCTTTTTTCAACATAGCTTTTGTCATCTAAGAAACAGTTTAGCCCTTTTAGGGCTAAAGCCCCTTTAAAAATACCTCTCTTTTACTGGAAGAAGGTTACACAGACTGTGGCCTTTGGACTGGTGAATCCACAGTGCTAATGATGGTGTGACAGTCACAGTTAAAAGCAGAGAACCTGTTTGTCTTTAATTATTTCATGACTGTATCATATGCAGGTGCAAAGTCATTGCTCAACTGAACAGAGGTTTATTGGCCAGCTAACAACCATATTAAATACATTAAAAGGTAGGCTAATTAGTAGATTAGGGAATGCAGAATTATCTATAGAGTAAAACTATTACCCCATCATTATGCAAGTAGACACTTTATTCTGCATTTCAGATTATTATCTCTTTCCTTTAGAAAGAAACGACTGTTCAATCATTGATCAAAGCTGATCTCACAATGAGTAATCAAGGGTGTGTTCTGGCACAGTCAATCCAGATGGTTATCTTTCAACTCCTAAAGGGAACATATAAAAAGTCTCTGCTCCATGACTTTTTTGTCTTTGTCCTGGGCTTTTCCTCAGATTTGAGAGGAAATTTCAAATATGAGATACTTCATGAAATACCAGGGAATACACATTCCTGGAGACAACATGCTACACGTGTGACAAGATGAAATTCACTTCAGCTGTAAGCCACCAGACCCTTTTGCATGTAATCAACGGGAGGCCCAGTGGTTTTAGCAATAATCCTTAGATATGTTTACAGGAGACATTATCATTGGTGTACTTACTGTATTTATCTCGTCTTCTTTCTGACAGTATGTGTGGTCATCAAATTTCTGTATAAAACAGATTTCTGGAGAATGATCTCCTAGAAAAAAAAAATCCTCAGTAATTAAAGTTTTGATTACTTTAATTTCTAAATAACTTTCTGTAATTGCACACACTTTTATATAAGTCAGTAATTGAGGTACATGCACCAAAGCAAGGGATTTAAGTGGCCAAATAATCTATCTCACTAGATTTTGAAACTACAATGAATGGTACAGAAATTCATAAAACCAGTCAGGGGGAGAAATTTATTTCACTTCGTGTTCTGGGACCCTCCTTGAGTTTGTATTGGAGATTAACTCTTTCCTCTTATTTTTAAACTAACAACTGCAACTTTGGTAAGCCGCCTGATCCATTTGACTAAAAATACACTTGTACTCTTACATGGAGTCGTTTCTTTAATGACTACACAAAGAAAGACCTTCTCTCTGGAAAAAAAAGCCCTTAAGGTTGGACCATTAAGTTCAAAAACTAAGATGTTGATACTGACATCAATCAAATTAATATTCGTGTTATGTATCTCATCCCCAAATTGCTAATATACAAGTATGTACAAACCCATGCATAATTAAATTCTAATTCCAACTTACTGAATGTCGTGGTTTTGCCCATCAGCCCATCCCTGGGGCTGAGGATGGTTTTGTCCAGGTGATTTCCGGACAAAAAAACAATCAAAAAGTTCAGTGACGCCTTTGCTAATTACATCTTTAAGAAAACGGAAGAGAAGGTTGGTGGCGCAGTTGAAATTAGGAGCAGCAGCCATGTAGAAGGGTAGCGGGCCCGAGGAGGGCCAAGGCCCCCTCCTCCCTGGCTTGGGCCGGGGGGGGCAGGTGTAGTACTGAAGCCTCCCTTCTCTCTTGTGAGAGAGTGAAGAAAAAAAAAGTTTAAAAGATGAACTGCTTAGACGAGAAACCGCTGCAGAAGAATTCCAGCCATGAGATAACAAGACTTTCAAGGTCAAAGCTGCAGTCGCAGGAGAGAGAAGAAAAGTTCGAAGGGGGGAGAGCTGCTGTTCTTCTCCCTTTCGCTCTCTCCCTTCAGCAGGGTAAAGACTGAAAAATAAAACCCTGCCACTTGTGAAAGTTTGTTGGGGTGAAGAGACCCCCCTGTGCGGCTCACAGAGGAGCTTGTGGATACACCAGAGATTTGTGACTTTAACAGAGAGAAAGCCTTATGCTGGAGTAAAAGCGGCTCAGATGAGGCAGAATCCTGTTGAAGATTTATGACCCTGACGGGTATTAGAACCTACGCTGGAACACAAAACGGTTCAGGTAGGGATGTTGGGATCCATGTGTGGGATCCATGCTGCTGGTGCTGGAGATTTGTGATCCTGAGAGAAGCTACGCTGGAGCAGAAAACGGCTCAGGTAGGGATGTTGAAGATTTATGACCCTGAGGGGAATGAGAGAACCTACGCTGGAGCAGAAAATGGCTCAGGTGGGATATTGGGATCCGAGTAAGGGATCCAGACTAGACCTATGCCGAGAAGTCAATCAAGGACTGTTCTCCCATGGGGAGGGACCTCCATAGGGAAACAGGGGTGAACTCTTAAACCATTATCCCCTGTAACCCTGTGGAAGAAGATCCATAGTAAGCAAGTGTCCCCTTGCAAGCCTATGGAAGGAGACCCTTCAGGACCTGAGTAACCCCCAGCCTTCGGTTTTAGCCAAGGAGGGGGGTAGGCCCAGCCCTGGAGGCCAACACAGAATGAGAGAGAGATAAAGAAATTCCAACTGCGACGAAAGTGCTGCAGAGTTACTGGAGAGAGAGAGCTGGAATTCTGAGAACAGAAAAGGACTGCTTCTCCTCCTTGGACTGATATAAGGGAGGTGGGGGGAGAAGTATCTTCTGTAAATACCTAATACCTTTTACTTAAGTAAAATTATTGTAGATATAATTCTTTAGTTTTAGTTTAATAATAATAATAAATACCCATACCTTTTTTCAATTCAGTCTCTTTTTGTCTGCATAAACCTTCTCTCAACTAATAGTAATTGTATGGGGGGTATAAAACTAAATTGAGCCAGGGCAAAACCACGACACTGAATACAACATGAGGCAGGCAGAATGCTAAAAATATCATAATCTATTACAGTTGCAGGGACAAAACCCCTTCACTCAACCCTCAGACAAATGCCTACTCCACAAACTGAAGAATAAGCCAAACAAACATGCCTTAAACCCTGTATGTTGAATGTTGCCAGGTCTTAATTCCAGTGGATAATCACAAGTAAGTTCAAAATGGGATGATGTTTCTTTCCTCAGTCAATACTATTAAACAGCTATAAATTGCTCAGCATCAGGAAAACACAGCCATTGGAAAAGTTTATTCAGATTCCAATGGGCTGTAGGTAAGATTTATATTAACTCAGAGTAGGTTGATAAAAAATGACAGTCCACTCAGATCTTCAAACTGGTAAAAAGACAAACAATATAAAAATCTGGAAGAACACCATGTGTCACTTAAAGAATACTCAGTCTGAAATATTGCTGAAATAAAACCTACAGGATGCAAGTCAAGCATATTATATAAAAATACAAAGGAGGTACCAGTGAAACTATTATGTAACTAAGACATGTTTGCTCATGCAACATACTTTATGGGAGTTATTGTGGAAGATTTTAAGACTTTAAATGAGTGTGCAATCGTTTATGCTGAAAGTAATTTAATGATACACTTAAAATAATGCACTTAAACATACCTACGCAAACTTCGTATGCTAAAGAGAATGGATATATTAACAATATCAAAGAGTTTTAAAAAATACTATAAGCAATTATAGTTACATGTAACTATTACGTGCATAGATTCCATTTATTTTATTCTGCTCAAACACATACATACAAATACATACATGTAAATAAAAAGGATACCCCTATATATAGTTCATATACTTCCCAAGACAGGGATCTTCAGTTATAGTATACAGAAAGAATAGAGAAATCAAGAGCAAATCTAATTTTCAAATATTAAAAAAAGTGCTGAAGAATCTTCTAAAATATGAGCTAAAATTACAGATATAATAAAAGAGCACATACACTTCCTAAGAATGAATTTCATGCAGCTCTGAAGTATAAATAACATAGACTCCAGCAACATCTAAAGCAACAGTTAAAAGAAATAAACACAGACTGAAAAAAGCGTCTATCCTACCTTTAGAAATACTTATGGTTAAAGCTATGTCCAAATTAGGAAAGGCCAACCTTTGGAAAATAAATAAAATAAAAGGTCATTAAGCATTACAGTCCTATAAACTCAAAGGGCAGGTGAGAGTTTAAGTTCTCTTAAATCCTCAGTTTAAGAGAGGTGCCCTTCCCAGCCTCTGTCGTTGGGACACCACTGGACAAGTGCTAACACGAACAGCAAAGGACCCCAAATTTTAGGGATATACCTGATTTTCTGCATAGAAAATCATGGGTATTGAAGCACATCGCTGCTTTATGTATTTCCAAGAAATGCCGGGCCACAAAGCCAGCACAAAGAGGTGCACCTGCAGGTTTTTTCAATCCTTTGCCACGTCGTAAATGATACAAATGTAATGAAAATGATATCAAGTCAAAGTTGCAGGGAAAAAGTATCGGCATCAACTGCATTTACCAGTGTTTATTTCCTCCGATTTGGTTTCTGGGGCATTTCACTTCTGTGGACTAAAATGTCCACAGGAAGGTCCAGAGGCACAAGCTCCAAGGCACACAAGGTGCGTGAAAATAAACGGGGCCATCAGCGGAGCTAATATAACCTCTGAGTCTAAGGGCATACAAAACGGCTCTGAACAGAAAAGGGGCGGGGGAGGGGGGGAGAGGGGGGGAGGATAAAAATAAGAAAAGAGAGCAAAACTTTCATCCCCGGATCGGCCCCTCAGTCGCGGGCCCCTTCCTGTTCCGTGAGCGCGCCAAACCTGCCGCCGCCCTCGCCCGGGCAGGTGCCGCTCAGAGCTGTGTTACCACCTCCTCTTACAGAACTCCTCTTCCTCCACATCACTCTCCGTCACAGAGCCCTCCACGACGGTCTCATCGCTGTCCGAGTCGGTGTCCCCGCCGCGGCCCCGCCGCACCATGGTGAGCTGTCGGCTCTGCCCAGGCACCTCCTCAAGCGGCTGTCCACACTCGCCGGGGGCCGCCATCTTGTGGCGGCGCCTCGCTGCCCCTCGGGCGGCCCCGGGCGCACAGCGTTCCTGGAGCCGCAGAGTTCAAACATACACCGTGCTGTGTGCCGGCAAAAAGGCTCACTTCTGCGCGTTTGTGCACTCCTGATGCTGACATCTCGAATCAGAAACGCTTATTCGCCCAGAGAGTTACATTGAGCTAGAAGGGGGTTGTAAAACAGGGTCTGGCCTTATCAGTGAGAGGCCTCAGAGCCTCAAAGGAAGGCCCCTGAATGAAGGACCAGCTGGGCTTTTATTGTATAGTCTGGGGTCTTAGAATCATAGAATGATAAGGGGTCCTTAAAGATCATCTAGTCCCAACCCCCAGTGGCAAGGACCCTTAGCCCAGGTTGCTCAAGGCCTTATCTAGCACATTGCCAGTGCTAGGGCATCCACAACCTCCCTGGGCAACCTGTCGCATTGTCTAATTCTTCCCAATATCTAACCTAAATTTCTTCTCTTTTAGTTTATACTCATTACTCCTTGTCCTATTGCTACAGTTCCTGACTAAATGTTCCTGTTGAGTTGTTGGCTCCTGCTGAGTCTCTTGTCACCTGGTGTGTTTCTGGTCACCTGGCTGGCACCACAGGTCTCCGTGCCCTTTGTAAAGGAAGGGATCTGTGCCAGTTCATGGCCTCTTGAGTCTGGCAGTCAGCTGTCAAAGATTGCAACCACTCACTCACAGACCAATGACTCAAGAAACTCGCCAACTTGAAAGAAGAGAAAGACTGAGCATGAGAAGCAAGAGAATCATTTAACCAAGATATGCTAGACTATTAATTAATAAGCAAATGAAGTAACTTGTAACCAATGAACTGTGACTTCTTTGTTTTCTAAAATATGTATATAGTGTAAAATTTTGAGAAAATTCCACCCTGCACAGAATAAACAATGTCTCTTTTCTAAACAAGGTCCTGTTTGGAGTCCCTAAATCAGCAGCACTTCCCCGGACATGGTTAAGTAGCTAACTTCACCTGCTGTCCTGAGCACAATGAACAATTCATGTGCTCATGAGTGGGAACGTGTTTGAGATAACCAAATTATTAGTTGACAATACTTTCACAGTATTTGCAGTAGCACTCTTCAGTGATCGTCCCTGAATCACAACATTTTCCTCAAGCAGAGCTGCTCTGCCTCCGCTTTACCTGCCATCTGCTTGGCAGTGGAGCAGTGCTGCTCCCATGGCCTCTGCCAGGGCTGGGCTGCAAGCAGTCCACCACAAAGCGCTACAGATGTGAGAATTTGATGTCAGCACGTGTGGTGTTGCACAGACTTCAAACCCCAAATCACCGCAGTGACTCCTGCTGCCAGTGAACTTCATGATAAAATTAGCATTTTTAGTACTCGCCAAAATGTGTTCATGGAAAATGTGGAAAACAGAGCTAAGATACTAAGGATCGTCTTAAATTAGATATCGTTTGCACATAATTTTTGAATCTGCGTACAAATTGTTATTGTGCCTTGGCTTAGTCATATCTGTATGCAATTATAGCAATTGCTGTGCATATTATCAAGTGAGTCCAGAAATCTCACTGGTAACACTTTACAGTTTTCAGCTAATGAAGGTGAGATACTGGAGAAAACGTGTTAAGAAAAGTGGTGTCAGGAAAGATGGGTACACAGTAGTATTACTAAGATATATAAGTATTGCACTGAAGATGAGACCAAAGAGGGCATCTTGAGCTTGCGTGAATGATTTCGTCACTGATAACTACTCTGGGTGGAGTTCTTAGGAAACATTTTCATAAGTGCTTCCTTTTTTGAGGAACACACTAATGCTTCACAGGACAGCACCATGCGTTGCTACTAGAAATATTTCCAAATGAGGTGCCACACATAAGAAGCAGCTTCGGGAATGCTGGAGCGTGGATCATCCGCTACAAAACCCTTTTTATTTGAACGTGTTAGCCCGCAAGCTCAGCCCCAGAAACATAACGGCAGTGCCAGCCTGGAATGTTGTCTTGCAGCGACCATAGCGTGTCACACCCGACTTGGTGTCCAAAGAGAATCACAAAATTATTGGGTCTGGGAGGGACCTCTGGAGACCATTTAGTCCAACCCCCCCTGCCAAGGCAGGTTACATAAGAATGCATCCAGGTGAGTCTCTGAAAACCTCCCAACACTTCATGAATCAAAAAACTGCACTTTCTCTCTGGCCGAAAGACACAAATACAAATACACTGCATTTTTTGTTTTTTCTTTTTTCCCCGAAAAAAGGGTCACCGCTGCTTCCCACAAGCAGGAGCTGGGCATTTCTGCACGGCCTGTTCGTGCCCGGTCCCAGCGCGGTGCCCCTGCGGTTCCAGGGCCGCGGGGGGGGCCGGGCCGCTCCCGCTGTGCGGTCGGTGAGGGGCGGGCCGGGCAGCGCCGCCCCCGCCCCACGGGCCATGCAAATGAGCCGCCGCGGCCACCCAATGAGAAGGCGCGGAGCGGGCAGCGCGGCGGCCCATTGGCGGGCGGCCCATGGCGCGATGGCGTGTTCGCTGCTCCTGATGGCGCGTGGGGCCGCGCGCCGCTGGCCGGGCCGTTGCCGCGGCGACGCGGAGGGTGACGCGCGGAGGGCGGGGCGTGGCGCGCGCTCGCCATTGGCCGCGCGATCGGGCGATGGCGGCGCCGGCGTGTCCTTGCGCGGCGGGGCGGGGCGGGGCGGGGCGGCGCGGCGGGAGGGGGCATCGGGCGGGACGCGGCGAGCGGGCACTGCGGCGGGAGAGCGGCCAGCGGGAGGCGGGCATCGCGGAGCGGGCGGCGCGGCGCGGCGGTGAGTCGGGCCGGCGGGGCCGTGAGCGCGGGGCCGCCACACGGGCGGGCTGCGGCTGCGGGACGAGAGCGGGCAGGTGGCGGCGGCTTGGGACAGGGAGGGCACCGTCGCCATCTCCGGCCGTCGGGAGCGGCGGCCGCGCCGCCTCGCCGCCGCCCTCGGCGGTGTGCGGGGCGTCCCGGGACCACCTTGGCGCCCGCGGGCTGCGGGGCTGATCCGCCGGCTCTTGCCTGGTTGCTGCAGCTCCGGGCCTGGAGGGGCTGCCTTGGGCGCCGTGAGAGCCGAAAGGTCTGCGGCGGTGCGGCAGGGCCTGCGCTGTGTGTGCCGTTCAGGTGAGCGCCGCACAGCTGCTCGCTCGGCTGCTCTTGCCGCTGGGCTCCTGTAGCTGCTGCTGAGTCAGCCCGCAAGAGATGGGAAATTTGTGCTGACCTCACTGATGGTGTTGCAGGGGGCTGCTCTGAGCTTAGAGCTGGGTGACAAACCTTGGGTGTTTAACAAACTAGTCGCACAGTTACGGGCTATGTAATTGCTCTGAAGCATTACATACAACCGATCTAGTTTGCTTTTTACATCCCGGTTTGGAGGAGTTGCAGCTGGGTTTTGTTTGTATTTTGTATTCTGTTTTGATTCCCAGGTCGAAAACAGGCAAGCAGAATTTATAAAGCACCCTTTTTGAACCACCATTTTGAAACCTAGCAGAATTATTTCAGTTTTAAATTTTGGCTTTATATTTAACGTTATGTTTTGCTAATTTCAAGCTGTGAGTCAGTGTAACTGTATAAATATTTCAAACAGAAATAATGAGTTCTTGTTATGCATTGACTTTTTTTTTACAGCACTCCAATGCAGAATCAGTGTGTGCGATGAATATTTTCTAGAAAAGTCAACTGCATAGCAAAAACTGCTGTGCACTTCAGACAGGATAAACAAACATGAAAACTTCAAAAAATCCTTTTAGGTTAGGAGTTATTATCACTCAGTTAACCCCAAGCCATGAGGCATCCTGTATTTCATAGCAGCCATTCAATAAAAATCTAAGATATTATGGATAATTATTTTCATAAATTAATTTATGCACTTTTTTCCTCTGATTTACTATTTTTGTGTAGAAATGTGACTAATAATTTCTGAAAAAAGATTTTGAAATCCTTCTAGCCCTACTAATTTATTTATCTTTTGATGGCCAGATAATCATTCCAACTTGCAGAATTAATTGTATTAGCTGTACTACTAGTTTCAGGACTAGTAGGACTCTGTAAAAGTCGTGTAGTAACTACTAGTTCTGATTTTCCTGAAACAGATATTCAAAAGTATTTATATTTGCAAAGAACGTTGTTTTGCTTTTCTTATTTGTTATTTTGAAATATTCAGCACTGAGGTATTTCTCTGGTAATGTTTTTCTAGTTTAAAAATACCTTCTGCTGAGGAAAAATTATAATACCATTCAGCTACAGCTTGGTGGGAACATAAATGTACAAACCAGAGTGTAGATTATATTACAGAGGGAAAAAGAAGGGATAACTACGTTATAAAAGAGGTATTTGCTTTTGGTTTTTAGTTTTATTCTTAAAAGCTTTCTCTCAGGAAATGAAATAATTTGTTCATAAAGAAGGCAATCCTCTCAGTCATTTTCTCCATTTGGTTCCATGAAGCACAAACATCTGTCACACCTTCACTGTGGAAGGATAAAGAGAAATAGATCAGTGCTGTTGTTGTTCATGTGATTGAGATTGGCACTGGTAGGAAACCAAGATGGTTCTGCTATCTTCAGGAACACTTAACCAGATAGTTTTGCCCTACCTGTTATTTTCATCATTGAATGGCAGCTTCATTTTTGATGTCCAAGCAAAAGAAATAATACTAGAAGCCCAATGGATGGATTGTTACTTTTAAAGCAACGCAAAGAGATTTTTTTAAATCCACTTTCAAATGGCAGTGTGTACAGCCCTCAATCCTCTATGGAAATTTTTACATGCTAAGTTGGTACATGTAAATACTGAATTATAGATTGTCTCTATTAACCAGGCTACTATTAAGCATTTTTTGAACTTTATAATACAGTTTTGCAAGGTGTTGTTTTTGTGTAATGAGAAAAGGAAAGTCCAGTTATTAATGCATTTAAGAGAGAATTTTATCGCATTTTGTTTCTTTCATAAAGTTACATAAAGCTACAACACACAGCAAATAGACCAGGAGAGGGTCTGAAGGATGTGAAGAATGC